GAGCTGCTCTCCGGAAGCAGGCCAAACCTGGCCTTTGCTAAGCACATTTCACGCAGCTTCAGGTGTCACCTGCCCTACGGGTCCTCTGTAGACTTGCGTTTCAAAGGCTGATCGCGCAAGCACAGTAGAAGGATCCTAAATCACTTTCAGGAGCTATGGAGCAGAACCACTGACAGTGAGTCCCCCAGAGAAAGGTACTGGCCTGCCGCAACTTTGCCTTTTGGCTGCCCTACCAGAGCCATTGCACCAGGGCTATGGGAAAGGCCAGGGTTGTTTTGCGAGAGTGGGGGGCAGCGGCAGAGAGATCGCGCGGAGGAAGCAGTGAAATGAAATCTGCTCTGGCATGTAAATAGAACAGATACATTCCTAGGGCAGCAAAATATTATGAACAGTAAATTTAATAACAGTTTACTGTGAGAGAGATTTTGAGGCTACAAGGGGCATACACTTTCTAATTTTAGATGAATAGATTTCAAGACCAGAAGGGACAATAGTGATCCTGCATAACACAGGTCAGTAGTAATTTCTAAAAAAGAAAAGGAGTACTTGTGGCACCTTAGAGACTAACCAATTTATCTGAGCGTGAGCTTTCGTGAGCTACAGCTCACTTCATCGGATGCATACCGTGGAAACTGCAGAAGACATTATATACACACAGAGACCATGAAACAATACCTCCTCCCACCCCACTATCCTGCTGGTAATAGCTTATCTAAAGTGATCATCAAGTTGGGCCATTTCCAGCACAAATCCAGGTTTTCTCACCCTCCGCCCCCCCCCCCCAACTCACTCTCCTGCTGGTAATAGCCCATCCAAAGAGACCACTCTCTTCACAATGTGTATGATAATCAAGGTGGGCCATTTCCTGCACAAATCCAGGTTCTCCCACCCCCTCACCTCCATACACACACAAACTCACTCTCCTGCTGGAAATAGCTCATCCAAAGTGACCACTCTCCCTACAATGTGCATGATAATCAAGGTGGGCCATTTCCAGCACAAATCCAGGTTTTCTCACCCCCCCACCCCCATACACACACAAACTCACTCTCCTGCTGGTAATAGCTCATCCAAAGTGACCACTCTCCCCACAATGTGCATGGTAATCAAGGTGGGCCATGTCCAGCACAAATCCAGGCTTTCTCACACCCCCCCCCCCCCCGGGAACACACACACACACAAACTCACTCTCCTGCTGGCAATAGCTCATCCAAACTGACCACTCTCCAAGTTTAAATCCAAGTTTAACCAGAATGTCTGGGGGGGACGGGTAGGAAAAAACAAGGGGAAATAGGCTACCTTGCATAATGACTTAGCCACTCCCAGTCTCTATTTAAGCCTAAATTAATAGTATCCAATTCGCAAATGAATTCCAATTCAGCAGTTTCTCGCTGGAGTCTGGATTTGAAGTTTTTTTGTTGTAAGATAGCGACCTTCATGTCTGTGATTGCGTGACCAGAGAGATTGTTCTCCGACTGGTTTATGAATGTTATAATTCTATAACCAGCAGGAGAGTGAGTTTGTGTGTGTATGGGGGTGGGGAGGTGAGAAAACCTGGATTTGTGCTGGACATGGCCCACCTTGATTATCATGCACATTGTAGGGAGAGTGGTCACTTTGGATAAGCTATTACCAGCAGGAGAGTGAATTTGTGTGTGTGGTTTTTGGAGGGGGGTGAGGGAGTGAGAGAACCTGGATTTATGCAGGAAATGGCCCACCTTAATTATCGGTTGTTTGTGGGGGGGCGGAGGGTGAGAAAACCTGGATTTGTGCTGGAAATGGCCCAACTTGATGATCACTTTAGATAAGCTATTACCAGCAGGACAGTGGGGTGGGAGGAGGTATTGTTTCATGATCTCTGTGTGTATATAATGTCTGCTGCAGTTTCCATGGTATGCATCCGATGAAGTGAGCTGTAGCTCACGAAAGCTCATGCTCAAATAAATTGGTTAGTCTCTAAGGTGCTACAAGTCCTCCTTTTCTTTTTGCGAATACAGACTAACACGGCTGTTACTCTGAAACCTAGTAATTTCTAGTAACCGAGTAATTTTTGCATCAAAACCATAGCTTCGTTGAGCTAAAGCATCTCTTTTAAAAAGATATTCAGTCTTGATTTAAAGATTTCAAGTGATGGAGAATCTACTACATCCCTAGGTAAGTTGTTCTAATGAGTAATTGCCTTCACTTAAAAATATGCACGCAATTTTGAGTCTGAATATTTCTAGTTTCAGCTTTCAACCATTATATCTCATGGTGCATTTTTCTGCTAGATTAAAGAGCCAGCTACTTTCAGAAATCTCTTCCCCCTGTAGACTCTTGTAGATAGAACGGGCCAACTCAGGGGCTTTGGTTCACAAGACGTTTTGACATTTTTGCAATCTCTGTTTGTTCTTTACTCAGAATGAAAGTAAATGTATTGAAATTTCTCAGCAAACTGGAAATTCCCCCCTAAAATTTCATTTCAGAATGAGGGAAATGTGTTCCCAAAAGGAAATATGTGAAATTGACATTTCCACCACTGCTGTTCAGCTGGAGCTCCCAGCCCTGAGTGGCTCTCTCTGCTGTAGACTGCGTACCCTGTTTCAAGAAAAGTTTTGTTGAATCTGTAATAGAGTCGATGAATTAGTGTGCCTCAGTGAATTGGTAGTTTTGCTGGAAAATTTCTGATCAGCGGTACTTGATCATGATCAAATCATTCCTTAATCTTCATTTGGATAAATTAAATAGTTACAGCTTCTTAAGTCTTTCATTGCAGGGCATTTTTTCCAGACCACAAAACATTCTTGTAGCTCTTGTCCGAACCCTTTATAATTTTTCAACCTTCTTTTTGGTGTGTGGACACGAGAACTGGACTCAGTATTCCAATAGTAGTCTTACTAATGCAATATTCACAGATTATCCCTCCTCCCCACTCCTACTTGGCATCATAGTGGGAGCTCATGTTCAGCTGGTTATCTACCATAATCCCCAAGTCTTTTTCAGTGTCACTGCATTCCAGGGTACAGTTCCCCATCATCTTTGTTCCTAGATGTAAGATCTTGCATTTGGGTTTATTAAAACTCATGTTGTTCAATGAACCCACCCAACCAAGTGGTCTTGACTGGTCCTGGTTGGTCACTATTGCCCTACTTGGCCATATGCCAAAGGTACGTGTGATGCATCCCAAAGGTATAACTGCCTATTGACCAGAGTTCAGTACTAGAATCTGAGTATTCTCTTGACCTACTTCTTCCTGTGACACTGACTCATTTTGTGGTTTATGGAAGGCAATTTTAACTTCACTTCCTCAATTTCCTGCCGGTAAAGTCAGGGATGATCATATTTATTTGTCTATCTCATGGGTACGTTGTAAGGATTACTCAGGGTTTGTAAGCACTGAATATGAAAAGTGCTACATAAATGCCCATGCCTCCTGGCATCTATCACCTTTCCCTTCCTTTTCAGAGGCTGGACACCACTACTAATCATTCTGCTTTTACCACACTTTTTTCAGTGTTCAATTATTTGCACTTTCTTCTCCATGTCAGCAGTCTTCTCAAGGACTGAAGAGACATCTAAGCTGAACTACCCCTTATCCCATAGATCTCTAGGCCCTTCAAGTCAGGCTTGAAGTATACTGACACAAGGCAGTGGGAGGGAAACCTATACTGCCTCTCCCTGTGATTATGTTCTGTGGATCCATAAAGAACAACATTCTCCAGGGTTGTCAGTCTCTTACTATCCAACCCTCTTTCTAACCTTCAAAGCATAAGAAAGGTTTCTATTTCTATTCCCACTAAATGGATTTTTAGCATCTATGGAAATAGTTAACACTCGGGACACAAATCTGCAGCTGTGTTTCTTAGTCTCAGTGGACACCACCATTCTTTTTGGGATTATTAATATTACGGTAGTGCCCAAATATAGCGGAAGACCCAGAGATCTTATGCTCATCAAAGAGTTTAAGCCAGAAGAAAGATTTCTGTCTTATCCCAGAGAAGACTAGTACTGCCAAGGCTGATGCCTTTAGAAGGGCATCATCTATTTTAGTCAGTTTGTCTCTCTAATCTGTCTGTCCATCAGTCAGACATTCGCAGCAAGAGTACTGCAGTTTCCCTTCATAGTGTTTTGACCTGAACAAATATTAATAGTTACCAGAGGCCTGATCCAAACCCACTGACATCAGTGGAAGTCTTCCCAAAAATATAACTGGTTAGTGAAAACTTTAGTTCCCCCAGTTTAATACTGACCATTGATTTTAGTTAGGTTATACGGTCTTTTCTTCATATCAACTCAATTACTGTTTGCACCACACCAATAGAGATAGCCCATAATCTCTCATCTTTAATTGCTGATTCTTATTTCACTACATTTCTTAGGTGCTTTATCAGCTCTAGTTCTCTTCAGGAAGAGAGCTCTGAAGTGTTCTGACAGCGAATTTATGTGTGAAACCTCCTGAGACACAGAAGTCAAAGATTTCAGAGGAACAGCCGTGTTAGTCTGTATTCGCAAAAAGAAAAGGAGTACTTGTGGCACCTTAGAGACTAACCAATTTATTTGAGCATGAGCTTTCGTGAGCTACAGCTCACTTCATCAGACTTTCATCAGTCAAAGAGCAATTAATGTTATTAAACTTTAATGGACACATTGCATATAGAAATACCACAAGGTGTGTTTTAGTGATTAACAAGTTCCTTCTCTTTGATCCCGGCATAAGGAACCACACATCTCAGAGTATGATGTCATACTCTGAGCCAGTGGTTCTCAAAGCTGGTCCGCCGCTTGTTTAGGGAAAGCCCCTGGCAGGCCAGACTGGTTTGTTTACCTGCCACGTCCGCAGGTTCGGCCGATTGCAGCTCCCACTGGCCACGGTTCGCCGCTCCAGGCCAATGGGGGCTGTGGGAAGCGGCGTGGGCCAAGGGACATGCTGGCTGCCCTTTCCGCAGCCCCCATTGGCCTGGAGCGGCGAACCGCGGCCAGTGGGAGCCACGATTGGCCGAACCTGTGGACACGGGAGGTAAACAAACTGGTCCGGCCCCCGAGGGGCTTTCCCTGAACAAGCAGCGTACCGGCTTTGAGAACCAGTGCTCTAGGCTTTATGTGAAGAGGACAAGAGGAGAGGTGGGGCAGGTATGAGACTGAACAGTGAGAAATTCATATTCGGGTTAGTGTTCTTTGTTCAAGTAAGTGGAACCATTTGCTTGGTAAAGAACACAGGAGAGTCTCCATTAAGGCTATTGAGAAATTCTACATACCAGAAACCCTACTTAAAAAACAGACTCAATGTGCCCACCGAGAGCATTGTCTTTATGGTTGTTTTTAACTTTATCCCAGGACTTTCTACCAAGAACAAATATACACAAGCTAAGAAGAGTATCTACAAACACACTGGCAGATGTTATACTGGTCTTCCCAGGAAGCCACCTGATAAGCATTTCATATAATAAACATTCTGCAGTACAAGTCAAAATGCAATACGCCAGAACAAACAAAACCCAAACAAGGAAAATCCTTATTAATTGTATCTCCCATATCAAAAATATTAAATACAAATGTTTCACTAGGTCAGATAATAAAATTAAGCAATACTGTGTGTTGTGGCTACTCCTTACTGGGATACTTTAAGGATGTGTTTTGAATTTATTCTAAGAACAGTGGTTGCTAAAGATCTACATTGTAATGACCAGCCATGGTTTCCCATTTGGCAACTTACAAAGAACTCCAGTCTGCTGTCTCTATAATACCCACCAGTCTTTTCAGGCAATGGCTATGACATCGCTCTCTTTCTTGTGGATTGAGGGAACTGAAATCCCCAAAGAGCTGCAATTGAAATTAGGGTTGCAGCAAAGCACCAAAGACATGATCAACCCCAACATAAGCACAAGACAGAGGACCCATTTAATCAGTCCAGTGTACACAAATGGGAGGACGAGGATGATTAGGATCACCATGAGCAGCAAGAGCAACACAAGTCTTTGGACAGCTGTTTGATTGATACTGGGAATGTCCTGGTTTTCAAAGATAGTGGCACAGCTGGATTGAGTACCACCGGTGTCATGTAGCCATTCAGGAGAGACGTGTATCTCATCATTTGGACAAGGGCTTTCCAAATAGCCTATGATATCTTCTTTATCAAGAAGGGTGCGGATAAGCCCTCCAAACACAACAGTGGGTTTTCTGCACAGAGGGCAGGTGATCATCCAGGTATTGTCCTCGTTCTGAAGGATGAGCTTGAGGCAGACTTCACAGAAGGCATGTTGGCAAGCCAGGAGCTTAGGACTCCTGTAGATGTTGTACCTGTTGAAGCAGATTAGGCAGTCCATATCTGCAATTAATGCTTTGGATGAACGTTGGTGGTCCATTTCTGAAACTAATACTTTACAGGAGTCTGGAGAGTCCATTACTGTTTCTGGAGGCTTAATTGAGTGTGGACAGTTCATTTCTGAAGCTGTTCGTTTAGAGGCATCTGGATTGTTCAGTTCTGTGGCTGATGGTGAAGAGGAGCCTGGACAATCCTTGTCTGCAGCTTCTTCCTTATTGGACCCCAGTCTGTCTGTGTCTGCAGCTTCTTTTGTGGACCCCAGTCTGTCCATCTCTGCAGCTGATGGTCCAGGAGAACTTGATTCATTTTCAATGTGTAGCTTGTCAATTGATCCCTCCATGGAGCGAGATCTTGGTGCAGTTTTGCTTTGCTCAGTTAAAGTGTTTGCTGATTCTGTGGCTCTCTTTATACAGTGTTTTATTCCTGTTACGTGTGTTTGAATAGTGACTCTCTGACAATGACGTTTTTATAAGGCAGGAATCTGTGTTAATCAGTAACTTAACGGCTAAGATATTTTATAATGCCTGATAACATCACTAAGCAATTCGTCTCCAAGAAGCAGACCTTGTGGCATTAGTAAAATTGAAATGACAAACCAGTCCTGCTGTGGTGGTCAGACTATGGCAATAGAACAACTATAATCATAAAAGCAGTACTTGTTTTTTTTAAAAGCAATTTCAATGAGTTCTCAAATGCCACTTTGTTGGACTGAGACAGAGTTAGTCGAATTGTGTTATTAGCTTGATGGCATTATTAGTGATATTATGTAGTGCAGTCTTGTGGATAGTCCATGGGCCTGGAAGTCAGGAGAAGCAGGTTCTACTTCCACATCTTATACTGACTTGCTGGGTGGTCTTGGTTAGTTGCTTCAGTTCTCTATGCCTGAGTTTCTCCATGTATAAAACTGGGATAAAGAACATGTACTAGACATGCCTCCCAGAAACTCTTTGTCTAGATCCTCAGATGAAAGGTACTATAGAAATGAAAAGCATGACTATTCGGAATATGTTATCACCTTGAGTATATTTATAGAAAGCGAATACATGGAAAGATGAATGTTTACCAAGCCCCCTTCTGTCCTCATCTAAACACTGAATTTGCATGACATTTGATTGTATCCTAACCCGTTGTGAGCTCTCTGGCAGGGACTACTCTTTCTTTGGCACTGCTCATCTAGTGTAAAGCCCTGGGTATGCCTATGACACAATACAAAGAATGAGATAGGAAAAAACCAACAGCAGTGAGGCTCAATAATCAATCTAAATCAAAAGGGGTCACAGTATTGCCACCCTTACTTCTGCGCTGCGTGGCTGGAGAGCAGCAGCTGCTTGCCAGGCACCCAGCTCTGAAGGCAGCACCCCGCCAGCAGAAGCACAGAAGTAAGGGTGGCAATACCATACCATGCCACCCTTACGTCTGCACTGCTGCCTTCAGAACTGGGCGGTCGGAGAGTGAAGGCTTCAGGTCAAGGGCCCAGCTCCAAAGGTAGCAGCACAGAAGTAAAGGTGGCAATACCGCGACCCCCCCTACAATAACCTTGTGACACCCTCCCACCCCATTTTTGGGTCAGGACCCCTACAGTTACAACACCATGACATTTCAAATTTAAATATCTGAAATCATGAAATTTACAATTTTTAAAATCCTATGACCATGAAACTGACCAAAATGGACTGTGAATTTGGTAGGGCCCTATTCATAGTCCCCTGAGCTGCTTCTACTGTTCAGGATACATTTCAGATGTTCTAACATCGGGATAGGGGAATGATCACACCTTTCCTCAGGCCTAACATGTTCCCCAGATCTTGGAAACAGATATGTTCTGAAAAAAGATTTTTTTTCGAGTGAAGAGAGTAAATAGCAGTGGTGTTGATTCCTCAATATGCCCCACCATTTATTTTCTGCCTTAGGCAGCAGCCTTAGTGAAAATGGCTACCAGGAGCACGTAAGCACCTTCCATCTGCCACCCCGGAAATGCTGATCAAAAGTCAGTTTGTAAAGTCAGTTCAGATGCAGAGAGTCTTGACGTGTTGCCTGTCACCCAAAGTAATTATGAATAAAGCAGCAAGCTTCAGTGAATATAAAGTCACCTTCAGACTTTTAATGCAACATACAATGTAGAACACAGGAAAAAAGAGGAAAGAAAGATCTTTATAGACAGAGACATTAGAACTGATTCTCTTTTCCTATACACCAATTTTACACTGGTGTAACTCTACTGACTTCGACGGAGTTACTCCTGATTTTCAGCAGAGTAAGTGAGAAGAAAGTTCAGCACAATTCTTTTCTTCTTTCTCCTAGGCTACTGGAGATACCATCATGATTTGTGGGATCCCAAACAATAATAATCTCACAAAGCCTCCAGAAGCATGGGACAGACCCCTTTGATCCTATTGGTGGAGAGCTGGGAGTGGTGAAACTAGGCCATGCGTTACTGAGGCTATGGTGAGACACCCCATGTATTGGATCCCAGACAGTCCCAGGTCTTGTTTGTTGTTATGGCTGGACCTTTAGGATACCCTTAAAAGCCAAGGAATCTGTTACACTGACAAAGAAAAAGAGGGTACTGATGATGGAGATCAGCATAGAAATAAAACCACACTATCAGACTCATTCAACTTGCTAGACAAGGCCTGAAAATCCACATAGACACAGTGTTGCAGGGCTTCTCCCTAGTTTCCAAACACTCGCTATCATGCCCTGTCTTCTTTAAAAAGGTTTAGTCTCTTAACACAGGCAAATAAAGTAACAGAAACCAGTTTTTTAACTCACTCCTTTTCACTCAGGCTTCAAGGTCACCCCTCGCAGGGGTTTCTGGTGCCCTTGTTCCTGGCAGCTTCCCACTTCTAGTATTTCCTGCCCTCTGGCAGTCCTTTATAGGCACAGGTGTAGCCCAGATCCCTTTAACTGGCTGGATTTGGCTCATTTTCTCTGACACAGGGGAGCTAGGCCCAGTTTTACTCACAGGGACCAGTTACCCTGTGACACACAGTTACTAGTGGCAACCTTAGCTTGTCCCGTCAGTCCTGCTCTGGGGCGGGAATACATGGCTGAGCTTATGCAGCACATTTGTAATGCTCATTCCAAGGGAATTGACTCACTTTTTCTGCCTCAATGTCTTTTTTTACCATTCTGAGCGTTTCCTGGGGGTCCATCACACAATGTCACTTCAATCAACTTCGCAGACAAAGGGAACTAGAAATTAATCAGCTGTCAATTCATCTGGAATGCAGCAGTCCTGAAAATATCAGGCAAATCCTGCTAAGGTCATCATAGTTCTAATAAGAAAACAGGGCAATAAATAAAGTGCAGAGTCCAGGGGTGATAAATAAATTGAACATGAGTTATTGATGTAGGGACAGCACATGATTGCACTAGTAGTGTATGGCCAGATGTTCTTTGAACCAGCTGTCACAGACAAGGTGGGAAGCATATTTTATGGTCGGAGTGCAGTGGGAGTGCTGTTTGCTCTTAGAGTGAAAGACGTCCTGATCACTCTATTTCACGATGGTAAACAGATAACAGATGAGGGGTCCCTCCTGCCTTTCATACTTCACATCACCCAGCCCATTATTTTGTCTTACCTGTGGCCAAAAGATCATGCTTTCAAGTACCATACCAGGAGTTGAACTCACCACTTACATCACACTATTGTACAATAATAGCCCTAGACCTTGCAATATCACGGATATCATGTAAATTGTATTGGGGCTATTTCTGCAGAATGCCATCATACTTTCCTGTAAAGTAATGCTTGCTGAGCTGGGTCAGTACCCAGGGCTGTAGGGAGCTAGAGTACAGGGTCAGAAGTTCTGTCGATTGGATGAGAATGGAGGCAATATTTTTTCAACCAAGCATAAAGAAATCAAACTCCCCAAACCTGGCGGCCATTTATCTCTGAGATAGAGTGAGCAAAAAGGGGTTGAGAAAGGAATGGAGAGAAGCGGGAGAAGGGGACAGAGCTGTGTGAATAAATGATTGTTTGGTTCACAGCCAATTCTGAAAAATAAATACTATTGTTCAGTTCAAACCCAACCCATTCTTTGGTGGGGGTGTGTATGTAATTTTCACTGAATCAAATCAGTCAGAAAAATTTTGGTTTGGGCATTTTTAATAAAAGCAAAGGAAATGAGAAACCACATTCACAACAACCAGAGAAGAAGGAAAACAAGGTGGTGGGGTCCTTCTAAGGTTTCCCATGTCCCTGGCGAGTACCGTATTCCCTAGGCTAGAGGTTACCAGGAGCATCTCCATCTCCTGTGTTTTTGTGATTGATGCCAAATTCCCTTGTGAATCTAGCTCAAAAAAATGTTTAATTTGATAATGTTGACATGGTTCTTTTGACATTTCTGATTTTTTTTCTCATTTCAACACAAATTTGTGAAATGTTTTGGTTGACCGGAATCTGCGTTTTTCTGCAAAAGTTTTGTCTGAAAAATTTTGCCCACTTTTCTAGAAGAGAGTTGGGAGAGGAGAATGAAGGAGGGCTTTGTGGGCGTGATCCAAAGCCCAGTGAAGTCAATGGGAGTCCTCTTGACTTCAGTGAGCTCCAGATCAGGCCCCCGGAGACTGGCAAAGTGGAGCATTATCTGAGGGGTGGAAGCATGTTTAAAGGGACAGAAACAAAGGAGAGGAGTGGAAAGAGAAGGAGAGGGAATTAGACAAAGAAAGGAAAGGAAGCAAGAAAGAGAAGAGAGGAGCTGGAGAGCTTGATGTAAATGAATATTCATCAGGAACTAAATAGAATAAAAGAGTAAGAAGTTTCTCTCTGGCCTCCTAAGCAGGAGAATCTTCGGGATTGAGCTGTGGCTTGGCCTCCTCCTTTTGTCCTTGTGTTTTTATCATCTCCTTGACCTTTTCTACAGCATTCAAGGCTGCACAGCAGCCATCAATACTGCCTGGGGAACTCCACTGAGAATGTTAAAGCATGATAAGGGAAATTGTCTATCAAAAATCATGCCTTTGTTGCCCACAATTCCTATCAGGGATTGTAAAAGCTCTAGAGATGCATAAAAAGCCTCTGCTTTCATATACTGTACTCTGTTTGAATTTTGTGGTGCAGTTCAAGATGATCCATGGAGAGTTAGATGTCAAACTACAGAAGGCTTTCTTTATCAAACCCTCTTCCAGAATAGACAGCTAGTTTTCTAGCTGAGGAAGCTTCTTGTAGTTATAGCTTTCTAGGGAAACAGAGAAATCCACCCTCTGTGACCTTCAGGATTCTGGCAAGAGACACAGTCATTGTTCTCATATTTCTGGCTAATTTTGGGAGGAAGTTTTAGAGCATGGGTAAGGCTTATAAGAATGATCTCTCAGGCAAGGATCATAATGGACAATGACCATGAGTTAATAAAATCCAGCCTCCCATCTTTCACTCAAAGGACTTTTGCTGCTGAACCTCCCCTCTTGAGCCTCCCTGAAGGGGGAACACTTGCATAGGTTTCTGTGGATCTGTGAGGAATAAGACATCTAAGGGTCCAGGCAGACAACAGCGACCCACATAGCACATTGGGGAGCAGCAAGGCTTCACAAATGGGCAGAATAATAGGGTGCTTGTCACTAGAGGTCTATGGTGTCAGCCGCTAGTATGGGGAGCAGATCTATGGAAGCTAAAGGTTGGTAGGATCACAAGAATGCAGGTTTGTTTGCTGGGAGGACATTGGCTCAGAGCAGGGCCCTCCAAAGTGTATGCGTGGGGTGGAAATTGATAACAAAACAAAAAACTCTTAGGGGGAGGCCTCATTAGTAGGACAGGAGGCTGCACTTTGTTGATATTCTGATAACTGGGCCTACACATTTATCCTAACTGTAAGCTCAACTAGTGAAAAATGGGTAAAGGGTCATGAATTGTCACAATGATTTGTTATAGAAAACTGTTTAAGAAAAGGTGGAAGCAGAAAGACTGAATTAATTTAAACAGAAAGGGTCAAATTATACCACTCAAGGACTGTGTTAAGATGATGACTGGTAAACAAGAGGCACAGAGGAGGATTGGAAATCAAGGAACCAAACTGGTGTGTTGGAAAATAGGTCTACTTGCTGGAAAAAATAAAGTGAGAATGGATTATTCCACCCATCACCTGTTTGGCCCTTTAAAAGAGACTCTGGGGGAGAACACAACAAGAACTCTTACCATCAGCATGGCTGTGGTGGAAAGATTGTTGCCGTGACACCAGACCTTGGATGGGGACACTTGATCTTCATCACTGCATCAGTGACGACCCCCACGTGATACCCGTGAGATCCTTCTCTCTCTCAAGTGCTCCTTTCTGCCCTCCATTTTCCTACTGTCCTGTCTCTCTCTTTCTCTCAAGTTTTCACCTGATCTTGAAATCAACTGTAATGCATGGCACCAGCATTGTGAGATGAGATGGGCCATCCAGGTCTACCCAGCCTGAGAAGGATCAGCGAATGAGAGGGACCTGACCAGACCAACAAGATGATGTCCCTGACCAGGGAGGTGAGTCGGAGTCCAAATTAAGATCTGTCATGCCAACTGCCAGCCCAAAGCATCCATCCATGACTGATCAGCTGCTTTGTATCCTGAGAACATCACAAAAGCAATATTTTCCCCATCTTTACTATCCTATCGCTTCTCTCCCTTTTGTGTCTGTCTTTTTTGTCTAAAGCACAAAAGTGACTATTATTTTCAATTCAGAATTGAACAACAGAATTAATCCTTCCTCCTGCACCAAGAAGGACTGTTTGATAGAATAAGAGACTTTAACCAATATCCACTATTTCCAAAAAGGACTTGGATAGGTTTTGATTAAGTTTGTTTTGCACAATCAATTTCAGCATCAGTGCTCTTTACCTTGTGTTGATTCTTTTCCTTTTGTGTGTTTCAATCAATAAATTCATAGTGTTTGGTCTGAATTTTATACTATGTTTGCCACTGTATTAAGCAGGTGGGGGTCTCTGTAGCTCAGACTCTGGACCTTGTTTAACACCTTTGGCTCATATATTATATCTAAATTAATACAACAGTGAGTATCTGCTTATTCACTAGGAAAGAGAAGAAAAATGCTTTCCTGCCATGGCTGTGCTTCCCCAGGCTCAGCTGTGCAGATAAAAAAAAAACTAACTAGAAAAAAATCATTAATACCAACTGGCTCATGGACACAGGAAAATGTTGAATTGGACTGTTAGGTTTCCAAGTCCATGGCCTCATACTCTAGTATGCACTCTGGGTATTGCAACTAAATTGCACATGAGAGTTCCAGCTAGATTTTTTTAATGTTGACTGGGCAATGTATATCAAAATGAATGCCACCAAAATGATGCTAACTCTGTGTGCTTAATAAATACTCATGCCCTATAGGTACTGTGAAGTTTAGTTAATATTTGTAAAACATATAAGAAGGGATTTTCAAGGTACAATTTCATACTTAGCCAACTTGTGCACATGTTTTGGGAGTTGTTCAGGTGTAAAATAGCTACCTGAAAAAGCTGGTCCTAAAATGCGGTGTTCTATTGTTATTAACTAAAGCTGATGCTGATGATGCATTAAGGGCCTGATTCACAGCCCATTGAAACAAGCTGCTCATTGAGCATGATGATGATAAACAGCATTTTACTGGTAGAAATGAAATTCTTAATGTGGGACTTTGTATTTACCTCCATACCAACTCCGCTAATCCACAACTCTCATCTCACACCCTGGATCTAACTCTTAACAGCCCTATGTTCCCAGCACCAGTATCATGGGATCACACCACAAACTGTGTTATTCTGCTGCCATCTCATGGACAGTTTGCATTCAAGTCTCTCTCTCTCACATGGATTTCATTAATCTGTTATTCTATCAAACTATGCTTTGTGGCAATATTTTAGGCATGAAGTAGAGGCTGATAGCCAGGTCTCCAAAGTGGTTCATGCTATATGATCATAGCTGCAAAAGGAGATCAGGAAGGGAAGAACTCCAACACCCACCTGAGAAAAGGTATCAAAGCAGGTAGCAACTATGGATATCTAGAGCAGCAAAGGGAGGTGCAGTGGACAAAGGCTTGCATCAAGAGCCCTTATCTACAGTCTGGCCAGGCAGATGGACTCCTGTGAAAAGAGGCCCAGTAGCGTCTAAGAGTGAAAGAAGCGAGTGGATTTGAAATTCTTTCCTTCGAGAAGATAAAGAATTAATGAATAATGATATTAAATTATTTTGATTTCCATTCCCCTTCCCACCCACCCCAATTAGGCTCAGCATCCCCCACCCCTTCCTCTCTGCACAATTTCTTCCTTCCACTCTTGTCACACCAATCAGGCTCAGTCTCCCCTTCTCCCCAGACCCAGGCTCACATTTCCCTTCCTCCTTTCCCAAGTTCAGCCCTCCTCTCCCACTTCTCTCCCCACATTCCCCCAGGCTCAGCTTCTGCACCTCCTACCCCCAAGGCTCAGGCTCAGGCCCCCCTTGATCTCTGAGGCTTAGCATCCCTTTCCCTAGTTTCCCCCCTCCACTCCTCCGCACCAGGCTCAGCCTCTTCCTTTCCCCCAAACTCAGCCTCCTGTCCTCTCTCCCGGGTCAGCCTCCTGAAGATGGCGGACCCCATTGACCACGGTTGAGTAGGAGCCGCTCTGGCCCGTCTTGGGCACGCTCTATGGTCCTACCGGTAGAAAGGCCGTCACGTGACAGAGGCGGGACGAAGCCGGCCAGGGAGGCGGGGTTCCGGCGCAGGCCGCACAGCAGCCGGTGTAGCGTTGGGGGCTTGGGGCAGCAGCCGGGTCATGTCCCGCAGGCAGGCGGCCAAGGCGCGGCCCGGCGGCGGGGGCAAGAAGGCGGAGATGGAGCGGAAGCGGGACGAGCGGGCGGCCCGCCGGGCGCTGGCCAAGGAGCGCAGGAACCGGGCCCCCCCCGGAGGGCGGCGGCGCCGCGGCCCAGGAGTTCGTTAGCTTCGGCAACCAGCTGCAGGCGCTGGGCCTCAAGCTGCGCGAGGTGCCGGGCGACGGGTGAGCGCGCGGAGGCGAGGCCACGCCCCCCTGCCGGGCCCCCTCGCGCACTACGCCCCCTCCCCCGTGCCCTCCGCTGCGCCACGCCCCCTGCCCGGGCCCCCAGCTGTGCCCGCCTGCGCTGGGCACGCTGCCCTGGGGTGCAGCCCAGGCCGCCGGCTCCTGCTGTCCTGGGCACACGGCCCTTGACCCAGGTACCAGCCCCCCCACCCCCCACCCCTCACCCATCCCTGGCAGCCTGACCCCACCCTCCAGCTCCTCTGCACCACACGCGCTGGCTTCCCTGATCCAGGTTCACAGCACTCGCGCCGCCCATGTGCCTCAGCACGGACCTAGGTTTCAGAGGGGTCGCCCTGTTAGTCCGTATCAGCAAAAACAACGAGGAGACCGTGTGGCACCTTAGGGACTAACAGATTTATTTGGGCATAAGTTTGCATCTGATTAAGTTTGCATTGGTTTTAGCCCACGACAGCTTATGCCCAAATAAATTTGTTAGTCTCTAAGGTGCCACAAGGACGCTGCCTTGGTTTAACATGAACCTAGTGGTTCATGTACTCTCCAAAAACAATACTGAAAATTACTTGGACTTGCTTCAATTCTGCAGCCTTGTAGGAAGTGTTAATGCAGCACATATAGGGGCTGAGGACTAAGTGAGGGTGCGTGGAGGCCGCCTTGTAGAACTACGAGGTAGTAGTCTATCCACTTGATGACAAGAGGAGAGGACAGTATTGCAACTGTGAAACTGTAAAGTGAAACTGATAAGATTCTTGCCAGTTTTTTGAGTTTTTTTTAGAAAGCTTTGAGCTGCAGCAGAGGCAAGGAATGGAGTTGATCGAAAGGGGAGAGACCCCCCCAGAATCCAAGCTGAGGCAGAGGTACAAGTGTGGAGACACCTCAAAAATCAGAAGCACAGGGGTAGAGGTTGGGAGAGCGTGCGTTCCTTCTAGTGTCTACAGGAGTCCTTTGTCTGGGGAGGGCAGCCTTCAAATTTATCAGGTTTTTATTGGCTAAAGGCAGATCTGGAAGATGGAGGCCCCTGAACCAGGGTCCCAGGACATCACAGTGTTGGGAATCTCAGTCCCATTTTCTGTTCCAGCTGCTGGAGATTAGGTTCTCAATGGTGGACTGACCCTCATATTTTACATTGGCCTGTGCCTGTTAGGTGTCTCATTAACTTTTTAATCTCTGATATGTTCCCATCAGTCTTGTTACCTGTATTTTGAATAGCAGTTGAATGCTCTCTCACCTGATAAATAATCCAGTTTTTGTAACTTATACATATATATGCTAAAGACACAATGTCACTATATATACTTGATTGAGGAGGGCAGGTTGAATGACCCAACCCCTTGAAGAGATTATCATGTTAGAGAACATCCCAATTCTTTAAAATATACCTATAGTTAACCCTTCGGGTAGGGGGTGACTACTGCATTAAGGGATAACAGAATAGTTGACTGTGTGGAAAGTGTCGCTATTCAATAATTTGCTCTTTGTAGCATCCCATCCTTTGTCTTGGCTGGGATTTTTGAAGCGATTTAAAGGAATTAGGTGCCCAAATCCCCCTGATTTCAAGGACAGTTGTTGGCCCATGAGTCAGTGGTTTTCTATCTTGTTCTTAGCGGATAGGTGACTAATTCAGTAAAAGCAGTACACTCTTGCTGCTAGTAGGTAAACACTTACAGTTTCAGTAGAGATGCTGAGTGAACATGGAGGTTGTGCTCATCTCACTACAGGCATGACGTGCAGGGAAGCTTACTTTCCTGCTGCCATGACTGCACTGTTCCTATATGTAAATCACAGATTTCAGCATTAATCAGATACCTTTCACCAATGTTAAATACATGGCAAACAGACTATTCTGAAGTTGTGTCTTTCTACAGCAACTGTTTGTTCCGGGCCCTTGGTGACCAGCTTGAGGGGCACTCCAGAAACCACCTCAAATACCGCCAGGAAACAGTGGATTACATGATAAAGCAGAGGGAAGATTTTGAACCTTTTGTGGAGGATGATGTTCCCTTTGAGAGACATGGTATGGAAACTGTAGGATCCTGGCAGAAGGAGTTATTGTGTAATTAATCCCTTAGCTAAACCTCTCGCCCTTCCATTTTCCCAACCCAAAGCTACCTTAGAGTAGCTATTCATTCTTCAGATGCAATTTGTAGACACAAGAGTTTTCCACCAACAAGGCTTTAGGGGAGGGTGGGAGGCCAGCCAGGAAGGTGAGCTGCTAATTGGTCTTGGTATGTGGACAAATACGGGAGCAGTTTGGAGAGGCAAAGAAGCCTAAGGGTATATCTACACTGTAGCACTGAGGTGTAATTCCCAGGTTGGGTAGATGTATGTGTGGCTGCAGTGGCCTGGGTGGTGGCTTAGGTTAGCTGCCCACATATGTACCTAGGATCTTGGACTGGGTTGTACTCAGGCAGCTAGCCCAAGCCGCTGCTTGTGCTTTCATCGCCACACTGCTATTTTTAAGGTGCTTGCTTGATCAGAGCTAGCACACCTATGTCTACCCGAGTTGGGAATTTCACCATGCAGCTGCAATGTAGACCCACTGTAAGTGAGTTAGGTACCCAACTCCCATTGAATTTCAGTGAGTGAGTGCCCAACTCTTTGGGTTCCTTTGAAAATCTCACCCTAAACTGCTTGGTTTTAGTAGGACTTCAGATTAAGTGGAAGCCTTGCTGTATAACATTATATAATGCTAACTCTACGTAAGAGCAAAAACAGAGCCTTATTTAGACTTTGCTATACGAGCCTGGAGAAACCCTTAAGTAAGGGCTTGCCTACACTACTGCTCGGGGCCGATCTAAGATACATAACCTCAGCTATGTGAATAGTGTAGCTGAAGTCGACGTACTTAGATCTACGTACCATGGTGTCTTCGCTGTGGTAAGTCAACAGCTGACGCTCTCCTGTCGACTGCACTTGTGCATCTCATTCTGGTGGAGTACCGGAGTCTATGGGAGAGCGCTCAGTGGTTGATTTACCACGTCTAAATCGACCCCTGCTGGATCGAACGCTGCCCGCTGATCCAGCGAGTTGTGTAGACAAGCCCTAACACACAGGTGATACAGGAAACGGTTTTAGTGACTCATTACATGGCATGCTTCTTTCTGAGTTACTGCTGAGCTGACAACCTCACATGTGTCAGGGAAGACTGTTGTGGTAGAAGCATTTTCTATGGTGATTAAAGACCCTCCTGATCTTTGTTATGGCCAAATTCCAACATAAATAATCACATTTGTCTGTCAGGCTTGTTGCTGAGGTGTGGTTCTCTTTCGCCACCAGTGTTTCTGTAGGTGTCAAATTCAAATCTCTAACCTTTTCTGCATCCATTTTGAATTATTTTTTTTTTAGTTGCCAATTTGGCGAAGCCTGGTACATTTGCTGGCAATGATGCTATTGTGGCATTTGCAAGGAACAATCAAATGAATGTGGTTATTCATCAGCTCAATGCCCCTCTGTGGCAGGTAAGAATCAACGCTGAACTTTCCTACCTTGGCCTGGCTTCATGCTGACTAATACAGATGGTGTTAAATTTGCTGATGTCTGATGTTTCTTTTTCAAATTACTCTTGGCTGGGTTTTGGAATGATGCTGAGTGGCTCTTTGCTTCCCTCCTCCCTCCTGCAAAGTTTCTCCCAAAATGTAAGCAAGGAGGAGCAGGATAAGACACTTTAATTTTGGCTAATAAATAGCGATTGAACATCTGAAACTTAAGCATGTCAGGCCAGATCGTCTTGTGTAAACTGACATCTCCATTGAGTGAGACTTACATCACCTGAAGATTAGGCGTATGTGTAGAATGTGTTTTGATATTAGATTGAGTTAAGGTTGGGGAAGGTTCTTGGTGCTGACATGCTTTAGGAGTTAGAAAATAAGTGTGGTAAGGCTGTCAACCTAATGTAGGAGTTGGTGTTGTGGCAGGGCCCTTTGATGCCTGTTGTGTGTGAAGCTCCATTAGTTGGTGTTTTGGGGAAGTGCAGACTGAGTTAGTGTTTTTGTGGGTGACATGGAGTGGATAGAACCGTAAACTTCTTGCAGTAACTCTGCAGGACAAATTAGCACTGGCCAAAGCACTATTGGTTTAGCTACATGGATGTAGAACTTCTGGGATGTGCAGAAATCAGTTGGGTTGATCCCCTGTGTGAATTCTCTATGTATTTCCTAAGATTTGTGTCCTATTTAACTACTACTCATAGAATCATAGAATATAAGGGTTGGAAGGGACCCCAGAAGGTCATCTAGTCCAACCCCCTGCTCGAAGCAGGACCAATTCCCAGTTAAATCATCCCAGCCAGGGCTTTGTCAAGCCTGACCTTAAAAACCTCTAAGGAAGGAGATTCTACCACCTCCCTAGGTAACGCATTCCAGTGTTTCACCACCCTCTTAGTGAAAAAGTTTTTCCTAATATCCAATCTAAACCTCCCCCACTGCAGCTTGAGACCATTACTCCTCGTTCTGTCATCTGATACCATTGAGAACAGTCTAGAGCCATCCTCTTTGGAACCCCCTTTCAGGTAGTTGAAAGCAGCTATCAAATCCCCCTCATTCTTCTCTTCTGCAGGCTAAACAATCCCAGCTCCCTCAGCCTCTCCTCATAACTCATGTGTTCCAGACCCCTAATCATTTTTGTTGCCCTTCGCTGGACTCTCTCCAATTTATCCACATCCTTCTTGAAGTGTGGGGCCCAAAACTGGACACAGTACTCCAGATGAGGCCTCACTAATGTCGAATAGAGGGGGGAACGATCACGTCCCTCAATCTGCTCGCTATGCCCCTACTTATACATCCCAAAATGCCATTGGCCTTCTTGGCAACAAGGGCACACTGCTGACTCATATCCAGCTTCTCGTCCACTGTCACCCCTAGGTCCTTTTCCGCAGAACTGCTGCCTAGCCATTCGGTCCCTAGTCTGTAGCTGTGCATTGGGTTCTTCCGTCCTAAGTGCAGGACCCTGCACTTATCCTTATTGAACCTCATCAGATTTCTTTTGGCCCAATCCTCCAATTTGTCTAGGTCCTTCTGTATCCTATCCCTCCCCTCCAGCGTATCTACCACTCCTCCCAGTTTAGTATCATCCGCAAATTTGCTGAGAGTGCAATCCACACCATCCTCCAGATCATTTATGAAGATATTGAACAAAACCGGCCCCAGGACCGACCCTTGGGGCACTCCACTTGATACCGGCTGCCAACTAGACATGGAGCCATTGATAACTACCCGTTGAGCCCGACAATCTAGCCAGCTTTCTACCCACCTTGTAGTGCATTCATCCAGCCCATACTTCCTTAACTTGCTGACAAGAATACTGTGGGAGACCGTGTCAAAAGCTTTGCTAAAGTCAAGAAACAATACATCCACTGCTTTCCCTTCATCCACAGAACCAGTAATCTCATCATAGAAGGCGATTAGATTAGTCAGGCATGACCTTCCCTTGGTGAATGCATGCTGGCTGTTCCTGATCACTTTCCTCTCATGCAAGTGCTTCAGGATTGATTCTTTGAGGACCTGCTCCATGATTTTTCCAGGGACTGAAGTGAGGCTGACTGGCCTGTAGTTCCCAGGATCCTCCTTCTCTTTTTTAAAGATTGGCACTACATTAGCCTTTTTCCAGTCATCCGGGACTTCCCCGGTTCGCCACGAGTTTTCAAAGATAATGGCCAATGGCTCTGCAATCACAGCCGCCAGTTCCTTCAGCACTCTCGGATGCAACTCGTCCGGCCCCATGGACTTGTGCACGTCCAGCTTTTCTAAATAGTCCCTAACCACCTCTATCTCCACAGAGGGCTGGCCATCTCTTCCCCATTTTGTGATGCCCAGCATAGCAGTCTGGGAGCTGACCTTGTTAGTGAAAACAGAGGCAAAAAAAGCATTGAGTTCATTAGCTTTTTCCACATCCTCTGTCACTAGTTTGCCTCCCTCATTCAGTAAGGGGCCCACACATTCCTTGGCTTTCTTCTTGTTGCCAACATACCTGAAGAAACCCTTCTTGTTACTCTTGACATCTCTGGCTAGCTGCAGCTCCAGGTGCGATTTGGCCCTCCTGATAACATTCCTACATGCCCGAGCAATATTTTTATACTCTTCCCTGTTCATATGTCCAACCTTCCACTTCTTGTAAGCTTCTTTTTTATGTTTAAGATCCGCTAAGATTTCACCATTAAGCCAAGCTGGTCGCCTGCCATATTTACTATTCTTTCGACTCATCGGGACGGTTTGTCCCTGTAACCTCAACAGGGATTCCTTGAAATACAGCCAGCTCTCCTGGACTCCTTTCCCCTTCAGGTTAGTCCCCCAGGGGATCCTGGCCATCCGTTCCCTGAGGGAGTCGAAGTCTGCTTTCCTGAAGTCCAGGGTCCGTATCCTGCTGCTTACCTTTCTTCCCTGTGTCAGGATCCTGAACTCAACCAACTCATGGTCACTGCCTCCCAGATTCCCATCCACTTTTGCTTCCCCCACTAATTCTACCCGGTTTGTGAGCAGCAGGTCAAGAAAAGCGCCCCCCTAGTTGGCTCCTCTAGCACTTGCGCCAGGAAATTGTCCCCTACGCTTTCCAAAAACTTCCTGGATTGTCTATGCACCGCTGTATTGCTCTCCCAGCAGATATCAGGAAAATTAAAGTCACCCATGAGAATCAGGGCATGCGATCCAGTAGCTTCCGTGAGCTGCCGGAAGAAAGCCTCATCTACCTCATCCCCCTGGTCCGGTGGTCTATAGCAGACTCCCACCACTACATCACTCTTGTTGCACACACTTCTAAACTTAATCCAGAGACACTCAGGTTTTTCTGCAGTTTCGTACCGGAGCTCTGAGCAGTCATACTGCTCCCTTACATACAGTGCTACTCCCCCACCTTTTCTGCCCTGCCTGTCCTTCCTGAACAGTTTATAACCATCCATGACAGTACTCCAGTCATGTGAGTTATCCCACCAAGTCTCTGTTATTCCAATCACGTCATAGTTCCTTGACATCACCAGGACCTCCAGTTCTCCCTGCTTGTTTCCAAGGCTTTGTGCATTTGTATATAAGCACTTGAGATAACCTGTTGATCGCCCCTCATTCCCAGTATGAGGCAGGAGCCCTCCCCTCACAGACATTCCTGCCTGTGCTTCCTCCCGGTATCCCGCTTACCTCAGGGCTTTGGTCTCCTTCCCCCGGTGAACCTAGTTTAAAGCCCTCCTCACTAGGTTAGCCAGCCTGCTCGCGAAGATGCTCTTCCCTCTCTTCGTTAAGTGGAGCCCGTCTCTGCCTAGCACTCCTTCTTGGAACACCATCCCATGGTCGAAGAATCCAAAGCCTTCTCTCCGACACCACCTGCGTAGCCATTCGTTGACTTCCACGATTCGACGGTCCCTACCCAGGCCTTTTCCTTCCACGGGGAGGATGGACGAGAACACCACTTGCGCCTCCAACTCCTTTATCCTACTGAACTGCTTTGAAAGCTACTGCTGCTTTACATTGCTGTTTTACTGAAATCAGTGAATTGTTAGGATCTACCATGTACTGTGTGTTTGCTAGTGGTATTTTGAATGACATTCAGGTAAATGTCACCAGCATAAGAATGTGGACTATGCAGGGACTGAGATGTTTGAGAGAGCTCTTTGTTAGCTTGCCTCAATCCTCTGTAATACAACAGCAAGCATATCTGTTAAACAGTTCCCTTGGGAGGTTGGCAAAGTCTGAGATGACAGAAGAATGAGCTATCTGTATGGATTCTCATAGTGAATGAATCCATACTGAACCTTCCCCCTCTGTATTCAGAGGAGCAGCATGTGAGTGTGGATCTTCAGTCCTGGATCATTCATCTGTATGTCTGTGCTTTAGTGAGGTGGAGGTAAAGGAGTAGCCCTCCTTTACAAATAGTACAACAAAATGCATAGATTAGGTCTACTGCAGAGTCAGAGAAGTTATAAATTGGAAGGTCTAATTGGCATTTTAAATGCACTCCAGCATGCTGTAAAGTAAACTGTTGGATGGATTTCAGAAGTAGAAAAGGTGCATTTAGAGAGTTTCGATGACCCAATATAAGTTAGGTAGCTAACCCACATATACTAAAGAAAAAGCATTCTACTATTATGCTAAATTAGCTAGTTACAAATCCAGCAAGAATAATGCTCAGCTGTGGTAGAACCTCAGAGTTATGAGCTGACCAGTCAACCATACCCCTCATTTGTAACCGGAAGTACACAATCATGCAGCAGGAGAGACCAAATAAAACAAACACAGTACAGTGCTGTGTTAAATGTAAAATACTAAAAAAAAAAAAAAGCAGCATTGTTCTTCTGCATAATAAAGTCTCAAAGCTGTGTTAAGTCAATATTCAGTTGTAAACTTTTGAAAGAACCATAGTGTTTTGTTCAGAGTTAGGAACAACCTCTGTTCCCGAGATGTTTGTAACTCTGAGGTTCTATTGTACTTGGCTTCTCAGAGCATGTAGAGGCAACCACTATGCAGGAGCTCATGGAGAGGTTACTCAGGTTATTGTTTTGAGCTGGTTGTGCAAGTTGATGTGCTCACTCTTATCAGTACATCATGTATCACCTCAACAAGTACTGCCTGAGTGTTCCCTCATTCAATGACCATTTTCAGTGCCCTCACTACAGGGGTTATGATAAGATTCCTTGTCTTGTGTGACTGAATGTAGTGCTGATGAAAGGTGCTAGTTGACAGCTCCAGTGATGGAAGTCCCCTACCACAGAACAAGTATATTGGGGCAGCTGTGTAGATCTCTCCCTACTACTGCCATTGTGCCTCAGAGAGATGTCTTTAGGGGAGTTTATTTTACATGCTTCACTTGAGCCCTTGGTCTCAGCAATAGAACAGATGGGGGTTGACTTGTAAGAGAGACATCTTAAGCACAAAGCAACCAACCTGAGAAAATCCTGGTAGAGCAAGTATTCAACGCCTCCCACTCTACTTATTTCTCAATCATTTTTGGTCTGCTCTAAAGCCTAGTGAAGTCACTGGACATCTTTCCATTGACACCGTTGGGGTTTGGATCAGCCCTCTTGATTTATTTGGAAAAAATGCTTTTTGAGATGCATATTACACATGGAGTTACAGGGTTTGCTTTGTGCCTAATGATGCCATTGCCATTCTCCTTTGGTTTAAGGTGCTCTCCCTAACAAGGTCTATTTCCAGTACAAAGTAGCACCTTTACCGCCATAAACGTCTCCCCCTTACTCTCACAGATATTATGGAGCACACAGCAAGCAGCAATAACAATGGGAATGTTGGTTGCGCTGAGGTCTGACCTACTCAGCAAACAGCGCCAGTGAGCTTTTAAATGTCCAAAGACACATTCTACCACCATTCTGCACTTGCTCAGCCTATAGTTGAACTGCTCCTTACTACTGTCCAGGCTTCATGAGCCATGGGAGCAAGGGGTAGGCGCGACCACACGGTGCTACCAGCTGGGAGAGCAGGCTGAGGCAGAAGCCTCCAGCTCACATGATATTCCAGGCAGGACTGAGTCTCCATGAGATGAAACTTGAAGAGAATGACCTGGAGCATCTGGCTCCCATTCGGTGCTCTAAGAGGAGGATAGCCATGTCTGTCCAGGTGCCCCTGCTCGACCTCACCAAGGTCTGCCAGGAGCACCCAGGAGACGTACAATGTTGTCGGTCCTACTACACTGTCTGCCGCGAAGGCAAGGAGTTGCTGCTGTGTAGCAATGCAGTACCGTGTCTGCCAGCAGCACCCAGGAGACGTACAGTGAGCTGAGCAGGCTCCATGCTTGCTGTGGTATGGCGTCTGCATGGGTAACCCAGGAAAAAAGGCGTGAAACGATTGTCTGCCATTGCTCTCACAGAGGGAGGATGGGAGGGGGGCCTGACGACATGTACCCAAAACTACCCGCGATAATGTTTTTGCCCCATCAGGCATTGGGAGCTTAACCCAGAATTCCAATGGGTGGCGGAGACTGCGAGAACTGTGGGATAGCTACCCACAGTGCACTGCTCTGTAAGTTGATGCCAGTCACTGTAGTGAGGATGCACTTCGCCAACTTAATGCGCTTAGTGTGGACATACGCAATTGACTGTATAAACTTTCTAAAAATCGACTTCTCTAAAATCGACATAATTTTGTAGTGTAGACATACCCTTAGTTGCTTTCAGAAACATGGAGGAGCGAGCGTTCTTTGTGCTGCTTTGGGTATTGGTCATCTGGTTTGGCAAGTAAGTAAAGGAGGAGCTGACTTATAAATATTTGGTTATGAAAATGGATTTAATTCTCTGCATTCCATTTCAGAGTTGGGATCTTAAACCTCTTATGTAAAAAAGTTTAAGTAACTTAAAATATCAGGGTGCCTTCCTATATTTAGAGCTTGAGTTATTCTAGCAGCTGTTACATCCCTAGAAGCAGCTAATTCCCAGGCTAGGTGTCTTTTCTACAGATATTGCTAAGCTTTGGCTGGCACAAATGAAAACTTTCGTTTTCTTTAATTTCTAGGCCTGCTGTAGTAGTAAAGAGCAAAAATTGACCAGCACTGCATTTCTAAAGTCATAAGAATCAAGCAGCTGATACGGCTTCCTAGTACTAGAGCTTGCATATTATAGATATTATTTTAAGTACATCTGGACTACTGCCTAAATGTTCCTTAGTTAAAGGTCTTAGCTATCTAGGTAGTTTCCTAGGTCAATGTTTTGTATTGGTCTTGAGCACTGCTTGATTAAAAGAAAAAAAAAATCAAATGCTCTTCAGAATGTAAAGTTGATTCAAATTCAAGGCCTCTTTGGGAATCTCTCCATGTTCCTCAGATTCGAGGCACGGATAAAAGCAACGCAAGGGAACTGCACATCGCCTATCGGTATGGAGAGCACTATGATAGCGTGCGGAGAATAAATGACAACTCTGAAGCCCCCGCACATCTTCAAACAGAGGTCGGTGATGACAGAACAATCTCCTCTGGTCTGGTGTGGGCATCAAACTAGAGTCTGGGTCTCCGGTATCTGCCTGCTCGATTTGATTGACTATGTCAGAAGTGATTGTCTTCGATGGTGTGTGTGCGTGCATGCGGCACCCTCTCATTGACGGTGTTGGTGTTGAGCATTGGGGTGTAAAAAATGTCCCCCAGTTGTTACAGTTGGTGATGTCCACTTAGCAGGCTGTTGGAGAAAGTTTCTACATTTACAGGACTGGGATGCTACTGAATTCTAGTCCTGGCTCTGATCAGTGCAGAGTGCCCAAATGTCCTTGAATCGTGTAAACACATGATGTGCGTGCACCTCCAATGTAAAAAAACCAGGGGGGGGGAGATGAAGGTGAAACAGCCTTACCCTAGAGCCATCTCTGTCCCTCATTAACTATGGAGGGTTAGAGTGTGTTGTCCCGGAGTCACTGTGCATGCAGTTTTACAACATGCACCTTCTAAGTGAGGGTAAGTACTTGAAATTTTCTTTTATGAAGTCTGCTTGCTATACATAATCCTACAGCATCAGAAGCTTTTCACCGTATAATGCAAGACTCGGGCAACAGTGGAAATGACAATGGAAAATTATCCAGTTTGTGGGGTGTTTGTTTGTTTTTGTTTTTTTTTAATAAAGGACATTCCAGGCAAAGGTATTTAATTCTCTAGCCAAGTTCAATGGTTAGCACTAGATTTCCTTTTGTCATGTCTTGAAATGACCGTATCTTCATATGCTAGGGGACCCTGATTTGACCCGTGCTGGTACTTTTCATGGTTTCCTTGTCATTGCAGATGCTGTGTAAAAATGAATCTAATAAGAGGGAGAAAATCAGGCCACAGAAGGCCGAATCTGAAGAGGAGTTAGAGGATGAAGTGGAAGATGCTGTACAAAAAGTCTGTAATGCAACTGGGTGTTCGGTCAGTATTTTGTCTAATCTTCATTTCTGAGTGATGCACTCAATGGAGGGCGCCTCTTATTACATCAAAGGTGACCTGCAAATGGGTCATGGGCTGGTGCTGCTGAGCAGTTTCAGCACCAGAGCTGCAAATCACTGGTCAGGACTTTCAAGGGACATGCGTCATGCTACCCATATATTAGCTACAGGTGAAGTATTTCAGGAATGACCGGATTTTTTTTTTTTGGGTGTTCAGCTTGAGGCCCCTTGAAGGTGCCAGATTTTCAGAGAGTGCCGAGAACCCATTCGCTGAAATTCAGGCCCTTTAAGGTATTGTAAAGTGGGCACCCAAAATCCCTAGTCACTTTGGCCATTGTTGTTAAATAGCTGTAATTAGTAGCCGTACTGTCCCTGTAGATTATTATCTGTATTGTAGTAGCTCCTAGGGGCAGACCAAGAATTGGGCTCCATAGTGCTGGGGTACATACAGACAGAACAGGGACTCTCCAGTATTCTGAAGTGCTTAGATCATGCGGGCTATACCTTAGCACATCAGCACTCGTCTGCTTGACTGTGCAATCAGAGTTTTTGGATTCGGCCGCTGAGTTTAAATCAGATTTGTCACTTACTCTGCCCTACTGAAAACTAGAACGGTGTAAATTTATAAGAATTTCCCAACCAAGATTTGCTTTTAGCTAGAACGTGTAGATAATTGTTTAACAGGTCTGAGGGGTTCAAATCTATCCCACATATTAATATCTCTATTTGCGGCTAGGATGTTGATTTAATCGTCCAGATTCTGGAAGTGAAGAACTACGATATTGACTCTGCAATATTTGGCATTCTCCAAGTGAATGAAGTGAAAAGAATCTGTAAGTAAATGGAGGATTTTTTAAATACTCTTGTGTTTCTGAGAAATGCTGGCAGGAGGGCACTGGAGACAAAGGTTTTCTCCTTATCCCCATGAGATGCGTAGCACTGGCAGTAGCAGTGCAAGCTTCTCCTCACATGTCCCACCAGGGTGCCTCAGCCCCAGCTTGAAAGGATCACCTGTGAGGGGATAAGATTAAACTTCTACTCTGATCAATGCTTGGTGACTCAGCTGAGGCTTCCAGGGTGGAGCCATCTGTGAAGCTGGTTTCAGTGAGTATGCTAGAAACTTGAGTGAGCCCACCAACTGATTTCATCCAGGACACTGAGCAGCTAGTCCCAACCAACCTGCGCTGGGTTTGTGCTGATGACATAACAGTTACAAGGCTCCACTTCAGATTACTGATGCTATTCAGTCCCTCAGATAAATGGATTTTCAGTGTTTACTAATTGATCTCATTGATTCTAATCTATTCTAAACCTGCTGTTGCACTCAGGCCTCTGGTGTCCCTTCACCTGAGACTTTTAGGTCCTGAGGATATTTTCACCACAAAGTTAATAAAAGCATGCTACTAAAAGGCAACAAAGATCAAGTACATTCTTGTGTGTATATATATATGGTCCTCTTTTGAACCATGCAACGGGTGTGAAATTTGAGGGTTCCCCAAAAAAAAAGTGTGGGCTCCATAAATTGGTTACCATGAGCAGCCCCATAACTAGCTAAGTGGTTTAAGCAGTATATGCCACTTTCTTAAATTAAAGCCTTGCAGAAAGCCCACTGGGAACCCAGTGACATTCTGTAACCAAGAGATGGATTGTATTAGTGTCTGAGTGAAATCTCTTCCCTTGATAGATTCTGAAGAGGAATGTGAGACCCAGGCCAAAGGTCAGAAGTCACAGAGCTCAGCCTTGTGGAAGGAGAATGGAAGTGGCACCAGAATATTTGGAAATCAGGGGTTGCATCAGGATGGAACAAAAAACAACGAGACACAGGCTAGTCCAGATGAAGAGAATCAAACCAACAAAAAACATTTCCCAAAGGTATCTATCTGGAGGGCTGGGAGCAGGTCAGCTGCAGGTTCAGTGGAACTGTGACATTCTGGTGAACTTGATTAAGGTTTAATCCTGGAAACATTTTGCCCATGTATACAAACTTACTGTATTGCTGCAAGAAATGCACTCCCTGAACTTGCTAGCTGTACTGCTGGGATCTGATCTGTGTCAGGCCATGCTCTTCTGACAAAGGGGAACAAGAATGTTACACTAACATGTGGCCTCTTGTTTCTCAAATGAGAAGATGCTATAGGTACTCTCCCAGGACTTTGTGTACATTCAGGCCTCTGGTTTGTAGCCTTGTGCTTTAATATCATCCTGTTTTCCTCCCTGTGCTATAGAACAGCATATTCCTCTGTCTTGAGTAGGGCCTATGGGTAGGATCCTACCAAATTCACAGCCATGAAAAACGCATCACAGACCATGAAATCTGGTCTCCCTCCATGAAATCCGATCTTGTGTGCTTTTACCCTATACTATGCAGATTGCATGGGGGAGACCAGTGTTTCTCAAATCGGGGGTCCTGACCCAAAGGGGAGTTGCAGGTGGGGGGTGTCACAAGGTTATTTTAGGGGGGGTGCAATATTGCCACCCTTCTGCACTGCCTTCGGAGCTGGGCAGCCAGAGAGCGGCGGCTGCTGGCCAGGAACCCGGCTCTGAAGGCAGAGCCATTGCCAGCAGCAGCACAGAGTAAGGGTGGCCCGGTCTGATGTTGCCACCCTGACTTCTGTGCTGCTGCCTGCAGAGCTGGGCGGCCGGAGAGCGGCGGCTGCTGGCTCAGGGCCCAGCTCTGCAGGCGGCAGCGCAGAAGTCAGGGTCGTAATACCACAACCCCCTCTACAATAGCCTTGTGACCTCCCCACAACTCCTTTTTGGGTCAGGACCCCTACAACTACAACACTGTGACATTTCAGATGTAAATAGCTGAAATCATGACATTTATGATTTTAAAAATCCTATGTCTGTGAAATTGACCAAAATGGACTATGAATTTGGTAGGGCCCTACCTATGGGTGTTTGAAAGTGTATTTATTGTTGGACTCTTCCCTTTTAAGGTATCCAATAAACAAAGGAAGGAGCAGCAGCGGCTAGAGAAGAAGAGGAGGCAGGAAGAAAGGCACCGGCAGAAAGTCCTGGCCAACAGGAGTAACAATGCAGACAACAACAGGAGTGAGACGGACTCGGATACGCAAGTCACCCTGGTGAAGACCCTTGCAGCTCTGAACATATGACTGATAGTATTGTGGGTTCTTTGATGGAATATGTGAATGGCAAATAAGACTGATAGGAAGGGCACTGAGCTTTCAGACAAAGCCATCTTCAAAGCAGATTCCCCAACACCCCTCTATTTTTAAACAATGTCTCCGTGGGGTTCTCTTTGGTTCTCCAGCTGTGGGAAGCACAACTCTTCAGTAACACTAAAGAGCATCAGCCAAGCTTGTGAGAGCTGGGCAATCAAGGTTAAGCAAAGTGAAAATGCCGACACTTGTTTTTACTATTCCTGAAACAGAGTCTATTCAACCTTGATCCATCACCCAACACACCTTGTGTGAATTTTGCTTGGAGATCTCACAATATTCCTTAAGTTAACTCTGACTACATTTTACAAAGCTCAAGCATGGAAGAGCTGTTATTTTAAATTACTGTGCAGGAACATTTTAACTGCTCCCAACTCAGGAACTTTTCTTTCTCTATTTAAAATAGATTAGGACAAAATTCCCAAATCCCTTTCAAAGCTAAATCAGCCAAATGCTATACCAGACATGTTAGATTTCTTTCCCTCTCCATTTGTAACTTGATAGCAAGTTATAGTCCAGATAGAGCTGCTCTTGCTTTTTTTGCACTAAGCCAGATGCTAAATGCTGCTAACTATTAGAGGAGATGGGAAAATGCAGGGAGATGGGGATGGTTGGGTCTATGCTTGTGTTTTTTGCACAGAGAGGGTGAACTCTTAAGTCTGGAGATGCTCTGATCTGCTGGCAACTGAGTTCCCCTTCTGACAATGCTGCTCCAATAATAGCAGGGGGATGCCAATGTATTCCCTACATTGCTGAGTGGATTCACCCAATCTGGTGAGGTTTAAGAAGATAATCTTTTACCATAAGCAGGTGTAAGATTGCTATTGTATAGTAACAAAGATGTGCTGGTGTTTGGACCATCCTCGACCTTGCTCCTGAGCATTCAGCACTAGAGTCCAAAATAGGGCCAAACTCCATAGTTCTTAATTTGATGGGTTGGAGCATTGGACATCACTTAAGTGTTTGGACCTGCATCAAGAGTTAAGTTTAAAAAGTGAAGGATGGGGGGGGAAGCCCTTTACTCAGAATAAAGTCTAAGCAGAATGTTTGACTGAGATGAGCTTTGAAAAGTGATCCTAGATGTCTTAATCATCGTACATTGGTACTAGAACATGTATAGACGTGAAAGATACACATGTCCTTTTAGCTTAATTGCCAAATCTCTTAAGTGGTTCTTGGTTTCCTCTTACTGTATATTAGTAACATTTGAAGCACTAGAAGAAATGGTGCTCTATTTGGCATGCCAGCAATATTAAAGGTTGCAGTAGAAAAGTAAAACTGTGAACTCTGACCTTAGAGTTTAAAAAGCCACTTGGTGGTAGTAAATATAATGAAAAGTAGCCCTTCTGCTTAGAGAGATGTGATGCTGCATCTAACCGGTCAGGAGGTACATTACTGGCAGATCAGTCCAAGTTTTGGAAGTCATTGTTCCAACTAGGCTACAGACTCCAGAAGTGATTACTAACACCTAGCAACTTTGCACTTTGCTGCTCTGATTGCTAGTGAGGTGGGGGCCCGGGGGGGAGCTAAAAAGTGAATCTGACAAAGGGCATGTCACTTAACCAGCAGCAAATAAAAGGTATTTACAGCAGTGGGGAAAATGCTTTAGCAACCCCCATAGCAAGGTTGTATCTACAGGTCACTAAGAGGTTGCCTCCTTGCTTAGCCCCACTATGTTTTGATATAGGGAGGAGAGCCTGCTTCTGTAAGTGACTAGACAAATGTCTGAGCTGAAGTGACAATGCTGGTTCGTCAGCTGTATAACTAGGATTTGGATTCTTGATATTCTTTGTGAATCATGTAGCTTTTTCTTGAGTCAGAGCTGATTAGAGGATTGTTTGTCCATCCGATTCTGGATGAGGAGTAGGGAGGAAGTTGTTCGGAAAGAAAATATAGCTTCTACCATAAGCACAGACGCTTCCTCCATCATTGACCCTGCAATTCCAACCTTGTTCTTGAAGAGATTCACTGGGCTGGCTTTTTCATGCAGTGCTATCAGATCTTTAGTGGGAGGGGAAGAGTGATCATACATTCAGATACTTAACTATGGTACCTGAAACGGAATATGCAATAGAAAATGCTTTCATTTGTAAGTGTAAATGAATTAAACAAGCTGCACTGGGCTGATTGTCTTGTTAAAGCACTCAACTTCACTCCAGCAAGCTCTGCCAAGAAATCCAGCCTGTAGTAGTTGAGGGTCCCAAACTCTCCTGCCCTCTGTGGTACAGACTCTCTGGTCTGGCTGATGGAAATTCTCCTCCCTTTAAAATCTAGAACATCTCTGACAGAGGGAGTTCCCTGTACTTTGTTCCTCCAGGAACTTCCTTTTGTGCCTGTTGGCTAAATGAGATTTGGCAGTTGTCCTCTAGGTGGCAGGCTGTGAATAGCCTTTACAGGGAGAAGATCATCAGGAAAATGAGCAGAGAATGAGTCCAATTCATTCCCTTACAGCTTTTATTGTCGAGCTCTTTGGTATGGAGCTAACTGTGCTACATGGCATTGGGTGTCTTTGCAGTGGGGTGATGAGCTCAGCAATTTTTTCCCTTGCCATTTTACATTAGGGTCAGTTCCCACCCATGTAGCAGACACCATCTCCATCCCAAGAAGCCTGCTGCTTGAGAATCCTCTGGTTTTATCAAGGTGGCTACTTAGTACAAAACTCATTGGGCTTAATGCTAGAATGGGACTTAAATAGCTCAGGATAGGCAGTGGTATATGGAGACTTCAAACTCTAGATCTCTCTGGATGCAGATACAGCTTTACCAATGGTAGTTTAGTGGCTTAGGTGAAATGAATACGTTTGAGTCCTGCTAGAAAGGTACTATCATCATGGGCACTTTGAGGCCTGAGACTGAATGAATATTGATTCCTTTGAAGTCTGAGAGGTGCTCCTTCAAGAGAAGTTTAGCAAACATTGTCAGAAGCTTTTACTGCCGCTGCTCCTTGTGATATACCTATTTGGATAGAGGGTTAGCTCAGCAGGTGGAAACTTGCATAACTCCACTGACTTTAATGGAGTTAAATTGGTAATGTAAACCAAGCCTATGTCTGTAAAACTGTTGCTAGTTATACTGACCTAACCCCCACTGTAGACCATGCTATGGGCTTCTCCCATCAACATAGCTACTGCCTCTTGGGGAGGTGGAGTACCTATACCAATGGGGAAACTCTCCTATCTTCATTATGCACTACAGCACTAAGTGTAGACAAGCAATTATTGCCAAACTATGCAGGTTGAGCATGTGGTCAATTGTTCTTTAATGCTATCAGTCCAATACCTTCCGCCAGTAAACGTAAAGAGAAAATACCCCCATAGCAGTTAAATGGCATTGAAAGTAAAACACTTGGCTGGAGGTTGCACATGGTAACAAAAGCAGGCTTGGGTCTGAGTAAGTGGCAGGGAGGCTTCCCCTATCTTTAACTGTGCACTAATTCTAGTTCCTTTCTGGTGATACCTTAACCCTCCCTGGAGGGCATTCAATCCATCTGTTGACTTACCAGTGGTCTTACCTCATCTGCAGTGCCTGACTATTAGAAGAGTCACATGACCTGTAGCATTTGCATCCATAGTAATGCTCCAGATGTCCCTAATTTCCCTTGGATTCTGTTGAAACTGAGTAGGGATCTTCTCTTCTCTCCCTTCCTACTTCAGAGTGCTCTGTGGGGCTCCTGCCCCGTCAAACCAAATGTCTGTCTCTTTTAATTTAATACTTGGTGCAATAGAAGCTGCAAAGACGTGCCATGAACTAGGAGAATGGATTTTTGTATATTGCTCGTACAGATTAAAGGCAACATTTTCAGATTACTAAAAACTGGCTTACTTCATTTTGTTGAGTAAGAATGTACTAGCCAACACACCCAAGCAATCTGGTTCTTATCTGGTCCCCATTACTGTAGTGTGGGAGTGTTTCAGTGTTCAATGTATTTATCCTCAACACCCAGTGTGGTAGGGCAATGGAATCTCCATTTTATAGAGGAGGAACAGCGGCTCAGACATGCTAAGTGACCAGCCCAATGTGAGGCAAGCATGAACTGTGCAGCATCAACTCTATTCAGAGCTGGTTAGCTCCATTTTGCCACCCCTTTACACAATGGTATTGTGCTGTGAAGAGGGCCAAATTAACAACCCTTCAGCAGAAAAGCTAAAGCAGGGCACTGATTGCGTACACTTTCCCATATGACTTAGTTCTAGGGTTACCACCTTTGTGGCTTAAACTACCCACTAAAATCTAGGTGGTTTGAAAATTCTAAGCATTTCTAGGTGCTAACCTTAAACCAAGTTACTCTTACACTGTAGATCCAGGAAATTATCTGTGGTAAACATCCATGATCTTCCTACATCCGCAGCAGACCTGCTCAAAGACTACCACTAACGATCATGGTTTACAAGCCAATCCATGAGTTACGTTACTTCATTCAGTGAAGACACCACTAACCAATTACCAGTGATTGTAGGCAGGCCTGCCTTAAGACAGCTAGCTGAAGCTCAAAATGACTCTTCCCTGATGTTAATAATTTTGAAGGTGCATAAGAAGCAGGGAAGTGCACCAGGCAAGACCCAGCTCCTCTGAGCAGTAGTGAGATTGATGGACCCTGAGTTATCCCCAATTTCCAAGATGATGTGTATGGGGAAGTGGTTTATGCCTTGTAGATGAGTCCCAGCTGCTAAAAGCATTGTCACCTTGAAATCTGGGCATAGAATATCAGGGTTGGAAGGGACCTCAGGAGGTTATCTAGTCCAACCCCCTGCTCAAAGCAGGACCAATCCCCAATTAAATCATCCCAGCCAGGGCTTTGTCAAGCCTGACCTTAAAAACTTCTAAGGAAGATTCTACCACCTCCCTAGGTAATGCATTCCAGTGTTTCACCACCCTCCTAGTGAAGAAGTTTTTCCTAATATCCAACCTAAACCTCCCCCACTGCAACTTGAGACCATTACTCCTTGTCCTGTCCTCTTCTACCACTGAGAATAGTCTAGAACCATCCTCTCTGGAACCACCTCTCAGGTAGTTGAAAGCAGCTATCAAATCCCCTCTCATTCTTCTCTTCTGCAGACTAAACAATCCCAGTTCCCTCAGCCTCTCCTCATAAGTCATGTGTTCCAGACCCCTAATCATTTTTGTTGCCCTTCGCTGGACACTCTCCAATTTATCCACATCCTTCTTGTAGTGTGGGGCCCAAAACTGGACACAGTACTCCAGATGAGGCCTCACCAATGTCGAATAGAGGGGAACGATCACGTCCCTCGATCTGCTCGCTATGCCCCTACTTATACATCCCAAAATGCCATTGGCCTTCTTGGCAACAAGGGCACACTGCTGACTCATACCCAGCTTCTCGTCCACTGTCACCCCTAGGTCCTTTTCCGCAGAACTGCTGCCTAGCCATTCGGTCCCTAGTCTGTAGCTGTGCATTGGATTCTTCCGTCCTAAGTGCAGGACCCTGCACTTATCCTTATTGAACCTCATCCGATTCAAAGGAGTTTAATAGAGTGTGCTTGACCTGATTTCTGTAGTACTCTGGTGGGTTTTTTTAAATTGTGAGCCTTTTTAAAATGTGTTTTGTCTGTTGCTGTGCCAAAACCTACAACCAGGTGAAGCTGCCTGGATACAAAGCACTGCCAAACACACAGGGAAATGATAAACCACCTCTTTCTAATCTGTCTTTTCAACTCATTTGTTACTATAAGCAGCTAAAAACTTTCCCTTGGTGGAGGTAAGGGGACTCCAGTATATACTTAGCTGCAGCATGTGTGTAATCCCATCTCTCTTAAGTACTCTGCTGAATCTGGGCCATAAATCCAGCTTGTTTGACTTGCTTTCATTTATCCGTTCATTTATCCTCTCTTGTTTTGCTGTGCTGGTGCCTAAACTAAAAGAACTGGAGCCTTCCATCACGTATGCAACACTAGAAGGCAGTTCAGGATGAATCTGCTCTAGCAATTGAGCCATCTAATCTTTCTCCGTGACAATTGTTTGCAATTCCCATTAAGATGAAATTTAAGTACTCACTATAATGGGAGGAGCCCCTGTCCCTAAATTACAAGGGAAAGCGAAAGCCCTTCAGTGGCTCTAGAAGAGTCTGGAGTGTTCATTAGAAGGAGAAGTGAACAAATGGTTTAAGGGTAAGTCAACATGTTCAATTGAAGGGTAAGTTTGAGGGGAAGGTCGGTAGGAGATATATTAGTAGGTGGGAGGGTCTCTTTATGCTAACTAGAGGGGAGAGAGGACTGTACTTGCTTGGCTGGTGCACTTGCAGCTTCATGTTTATTTAAGTCCTCAGCATGGATATTGGCAAAGTCTGGTCTGCTCTGTACGACTGTGGCCAGGCTTAACAACATTATTAGCCTCTAGTGCACACGGCTCCTCCACTCACCTTTACTGTAACCACCCCAAATGCACCTCCGTACCACTTGTTAGCCTTCCTGTGCACAACTCGGAGCATGTGGCCCTAGCCTATGTTCTCTTACTGATGCAGTGCTGGTGTAGAGGAGAGGTGCTTGCAAAGGCCGTGTGTGTCCTCCTGGTGCCACCCCTCGTTGGGCCTGATCGCTGCTGGTGCCAGAATGCTGTCAAGCTGCCCACAGCACAGAATCAGGTAGGCCTACAATCAGCTAGGCTTGTTCCCAGCCCCCCAACCAGTGGTAAAGAACACAGCAATCATGCAAGATACAACCCTGTGGAAACAGCAGATTGGAATAAGTGTTCAGAGCGGGGATCTGCCTGGGAAGGGCCCAGAGGGATGTTATCCTGCTAGGCAACACCAGAGGAGCCGTAAGATTAGGCACAAAACAAGAATAGAACTATCAGCAATAATATTAACTACCTCTGCCCCCCATACACACCTGATAGAACAACTTCTCAAACTCAGCTGCAATTATTTAATATGACTAGGAGAAGGGCAGTAAGTACAAGCCACTCCCTTCCATAAGGCCCTTTCCCCTTGACCTCAGGGCAGTCGCTTCCTACCAGGTCTATTGAGCAGCTTCCTTTCGGCAGTCTGATCTGCCCCTTGCCGTCTGTAGGGGTGGAGTAACCACGCTGCCACAGTTCTTATCTCCTGTTCAGATTTTAACATGTTCTGGATCTCGGAACGGTTCAGTAATACAAATAGCTCCTTGCTACTGCACTTGGCGGATCAAAGGAATCCCGCACAGCTACAGACAAGCTGCCACGTCCAAATCCCTTTGAAGCATCACTCCTTTCCTGGAGTGGGTTCTACGCCAGCCACACTTACTGCTTCTACTCAGCTGGATGCTCCAGATCTGGCTCCAGATCTCCCACCCAGCTGCAGCATGGTCCCTGCAGTTCAGCATGATACACTCAGCGCGGAGATTGCATCAGGGGAACTCATGAGGCAAAAAATGGTGACCATATTCAGCAGGGATAGTATGCCAATGTTTGGAGGCCTGGGTACAAGACCCCTGTAGCTGCTATTTGTATTACAATAGTGGCTGGATGTCCTACTGAGATCAGGGTCCTATTGTACAGCTCCTAACACAAACATAGTGAGAGATCATTCCTGTTCAGAAGAGCTCGCAGTCTGAACAGACAAGGCAAAGAATAGGTGGGAGGGGAAATGGAGGCCCCAGATCATCCCAGGTTATTTAGGTTCTCAACTTCAGTGGAAGTTAGGAACCTAAATACCTGTGAGCATTGGGGCAGGAGAGCTGGAATGATTTGGCAGCAGATCCAGGTACAGAACTCAGATCTCTTTACACCCCAGTTCAGCACCCTACCAACTGGACCGCACTGTCTCTGGTCTTGGAACCTATCCGGATGTCTAGTCTGATTCACAATCACTGGGAATTCAGATTTCATGTTTGCTCCAATTTAACTAATATTTAAGCATGAACCTTGTGTCGTCATCTACACCAGTGCAAAGTAGGTATAAAATGCAACCAAATGGAATTAGAGGGTTTTAATGCCCACTTCACGCTGGTGTAAATGACATGAAGACATGCAGGGCAATGGAGAATCCAGTCCCATACGTCTTTTCACCTCTCTTCATAAGACAGTCCCTCCAACCCCTTCATGACTCTTAATTCCCTTCAGTCTTTCTATGTCTCTAGGTGCTCAGAAGTGAATGCAGTTTTCTAGGCGGTATTTAATCAGGGTCATTCAGAGAGGGCTCCTCACTGGTACAATACTAATCATGAGAATCCAAGAAAACAAAAAACAAAAACTCTTTCCTTGCAAGAATGCATCCCTTGGTGGTATTGTTTGGCAAGGAAGCGTACTCTACTCAAGACAAGAAAGAATGGAAGTTATCCACTTAAGTGGATGTCACTCCCTGATTCTAAATGTTTGATAGTATCTTAATGCTTACTTGGGGTCAGAGAGAGCTTACGCTTTTGATGACAGATTTCCAGCGTCCACTAGAACCTCACTACTCCCTGCTGCACTCCTTACACAGCTTGTAATTCACCTTCCCAAAACAGTGGTCTCTCCTTGCCTCTCAAAGATTCAACAGCAGCGTGTTGCTATTGAATCTCATTCCCCACTACATTTCTAACACACTAACTCTGCTGCGTTCAGGTACCGAGGCCTAGATCCTCAAAGGTATGAGGCTCCCAACTTTCACTGAAATGAATTGAAGTAAGGAGCTTAAATATCTTTGAAGATCTGGGCCCATGTTACTAAGACCTTGTTGTTTCAGTACGTACCACGTTACGTTCACCAGTACGTTATGAAGTATCAGTGAGACTACTTGTGTGCAAAGTTACTGACATGTGCATGTATTTGCAGGACTGGGCCTTCAATCAACAATAATATTGCCATGAAACTCAACAAAAAAAAGCCCGGTTTAGGGATTTGAACATACCCCTAACATGCAGTGTTAGGATTCCAAATGTTATAGCAATTGTACTAAGGCAGGAAGATCTGAAAGTGGCATTGATTCAGTTTTGCTGTCTGTCCTGAGTAAAATGTACAAAAGTCACACACAACTTAAAGGGGTGAGAATTAATCTGCATGACACCCGCCCTGGGTCAGCCCCCCCAAAAGAAAGGAGTACAGTATAAAACCCTAGATAGAGTTACCCAAATGAATGTGACTGTTCCCCATTATGAATTCAGTGATTTTACTGCAAAGCTCCCCATGCTTAAGAAACCGCAGAGGTGATTTCTCAAGTGTCTCATTCATCCATCCATGCTCCTGCTCTTACAAGCTTTGTTAGCTGCAGCATGAACTGTAACATACCCCTTGCTAATAAAAATGTTTGTAATTCAGCTGTTCTGTTAGATCACTAACTCACGACCAAACAGCATTTTCACAATCTATTTCCACATTTTACATTCCAGCTCAACAGTGTTAACCGGGGGCCTAAGAGGTTAGGCAACATGTCAAAATAAATAATGCAATTATTCTATATGTCTTTCCATAGAGGAGACATGAACAACTGCGAGCTGATGTTATCCAGCCAATCCTTTGATTATTTAAAGGAGTCCCTCAGGGAAGTTGAAGAGAAAGTAAGTTTCTAGTTCTCATGGTTGTAGAGAAAAGCCTGTGGAAACATGAACCCTAAAAGCTGAAAAACCACAAGGGCAACAAAAAGGCCCCCATTTTATTATTTTTAAAATCTCTTGATTGTGATGTTTATCTCATGATTGTGGGGGCCTGACTCCCTATATCCGAGTGCTTGGGAATAATGCTGGTGATGCTGGATGGGTCTGTCTGGACCCTGAAGAAGGGTGCTTTTAAAATTGAGTTAGTTCAATGGAGTTAGCCTTGTGGGGCAGCCACACAGCCAGCTGACACAGTTGTAAAGGTGTTAAATTGTGTCCACATGGGTGCGAAAGGAGATTTCCAATCATGTGAAGGTAACTCCGTTAAGCTAACTCAATTTTAAAGAGCACTTTTTTCTTTTGTGGGGACGGGGCCAAGGAGGTTGTTGTAGCTGAGCTACCGGAATGTCATTTAAGTCTTCGCACAAAATATTTTCGAACATGAAATCAACACGTCGAAGGGTTGACTCACCTCTGGCGTGCCTCCTTGTGGCTGGGTGTGGAGGAGGAGACTCTTCCTCTCCGGCACCCTCTGCTGACAGTTGTTTCTGGATCTGTGGTGGCCTGCCTCTTTTTGCGACTCAGCACTCTAGCCAGGTCCCGTTTTAGTTCCACGCCCCTTTCAGGGTACTCCACTCAAGTTCCAGTTTCTTCAACCCCTTTCCTGGGGTTAACGAAGACCCACAGGGTCCTCGCCTGGGATCTTCTATGTAGATCGCTCAAAGAAAGCTCAAGTACTTCTAGTCCCACTCAACTAACTCCCAGGACTTAATCAACCCCTGTTTCGGGCTAAGCATGGGGAAAAACGCTCATTTTTTGGACTCCCTCGGTCTGTCAACACTGTACTAAACTCTCTTTCAGGCCTACCACCGTGAAACTCACCATCTCCTGTTGCCCTGTCTCTAGGGGCCTTCCCTGACACCCTCAGCTTCTCAGGCTTCCTTTCCCAGTCCCATGCCCTCCTTCCTCAAAGCTTCTTGCTGGGCCTCAGCCTAATGGCTGCAAAGTTCTTTCTTGCTCTTATTTCAGAGCATGGCCTCCCAGACTGCCTCCAGGCTCAGCCATCTCTAGTTCTGGCTCCAGGCCTCCCAGGCTTCTCTCGACCTTTAGCCCATGAGAGGAAACTACCAGCTGGTCTCCTGCCTGGACTTCTTTTCTCCCTGCGCTCCTTCTTTTATAAAGACCCCACTCTCCACCAGCTGGGTGTGATCACCGGTTTTGCCTAACACCCCTCCAGGTGCTGCCCAAGGGCCTAATTGGGCTCAGGCTTTTGTTAGCCCAGGCTAAACTATTGTGGGGTTGATGCATCCAATCACACTCCAGCACATAGCTAATCTCCCCAGCACCGCTTTAGGCCCGTTCATTTTGGGCCCAATCCAAAGCCCAGGGAAGCCTGATTTAGACGCCCTTTGGCTCAGGACCTCGAGGCAGAGTCCAGTATTCCAGTTCTGCAGCTTTTCCCACTTTTACAGTTGCAAACCCATATAGCCACCCGCTCTGTCTCTGGATAATCATTCTCCAGCTGGTCTTAAATAAGAGTTGGCGCTAAAACCAAGCCTCCCTGCAGCTGCCCGGCAGAGCTGACTGGTTAACGTCTCCATTGGAGAAGGGGGACAGAGAGAGCTCAGCTTGGTATAACAGGACACAAGAGGACGATAGCTATGATAAGGTTTATTTCAAATATTCCATCAGCAGTTAAATCATACAAAATGGCCCAAGCTTGTAGGCAGAGCTGCTGGAATTTCACACTGATTCTTAGAAGCTGAAAACACTGGTTGCCCTTTAGAAGCTGTCTTTTATTTTTACTAGTAGGGGCAGGTATTGCTTGTACCTAAGGGCCTGGTCCAAAATCCATTGAAGTCAATGGAAAGGCTCCCGTTGACTTCCCTGCTGTGTTGGCTCAGAACCCGGCCGAGGAATGCTGCTAGAACTTGTAATATCTTGCCGAAAAAGGAACAGCACCTAGCGCTGGAAAGAAGTGGGGCTGGCACTGCAGAGCACTGAGACTAGTGCAGCTGTGGGCCTAGCATGGGAGAGAGGGTCCCTTGCAGAGCACTTGTGAGAAATAGAGATATTTTCCATGGTAGATACAGCCCGTCTTTTGGAAACAAACGGTCGCAGCCTCGTTACATTCACAGATCAGCTTCTGGCAGAGGGTTTTCTCACCTGAAAAATAAACCAGCAGGGACTCATGAGAACAGTACAGTAGAGCTCAGGGCAATTACCTTGAATCAACTGCTGTAGCATATGCAGATCCTCTCATCGCATGCCTGAGTACTGCAGCCAAGCCACTGCATGTGTGGGAAAGTCACTTGGGGCCAATCCAAAGCCCATTGTAGTCCATGGGAACCTTTCTATGGACTGCAGTGGGTTTTGGCTCGGCCCCTTGCCTACCAGTCCTACTGCTGCTTTACAGAGGTTTCTGTGATAACAACCTAGATGGTGCATAGAGCCTCTTCCCAAACAGGAAGCTCACGAATCCATAACTAGGTGCAGGGGGCCTGCGGTGAACGTCTCTCTCTGGTTTATGTTTATTTGGAAAATGCCGCTGTTGAGAAGATTGGAACGATACGAGCCGGTCTCGAGCACCCCACTTTGTGCTGGCTGCAAAGCAGCTGGGCACACGCCATGTTGAGGAACGTGCTCAGTTCCTTTCTTGCACAGAGGATGAAATTCACCCTGGTGCAGAAGGCTGGCACATATCCTACGCATCAGCTAAGTCTCATGCAAGACCTTAAAATAGCTTAAGCAGTACCTAGCCCTCATACTGGAGCCCTGCACAGAGGGGAATTTCACCCCAGCACACTTGGAGCACAAAGTTGGCATTTAGATTCTGCTCCCTGTCCCGGATTCCTATGCACCCAGCGACGACTGAATTTCCTGGGTGAGTGCCTCCTGGCAATAGACAATAGCCAGAAATCATGCGGCATGTGACACAGCTAGGGAGAGTGCAGACTCCCTGTTTGCCAACTTCTCCGAATTGCTCTAGAAAATATATTCCCTTTGGTGCAGCAGGGCCCTGGGACTGTACTCAGCTCAGGGTGAAATTCACCCCAGGGCATGGGGTCATCAAAACGCCTTTGCTCCTCTTCAGTTTTTAAAATAAGGCATAAGCGGGGCTGAAATCGTGTGGAGGCCCTTGTCCTGACCCCTCTCTGTGGGGTGAGTTTCACCCATAGGGAAGCTTGTCTTGCTTAACCAGTCACCTGAATAATAATCGCAACCAGGATTTGTACAGCCTGCTCCCTATTTCAAGCACATTCCACTTGTTAACCAGTTAAATAGCATTTTCCAGCCTGCTAGTCTACAGGAGGAGTGGGGCCCAGAGACCGCCTGTCTCTACGGAGAGCAAACCCATTCCATTCATGCCTTGGTCTCTACATTCTCACTTACCGCAGCCTATGTTGCCCCACGACTAAGAATAGAATTCCAATTTGGGATCACAGCCACGTACCAACAACTTCTTCTAGCAGCAGATGGGAGCATAACAGCACCTGGTGTGAACAGAGTCAGCATTAGTCCAGCGCTGGGGGGATGGCAGGAAAAACATGATTAGTTGTTATTTGAATTACAGTAGCACACCGGGTCCCTGAATGAGATCAGAGCGCCTGATGAGGGAGTAGAAACACAGCAAGACCAAGGCTTGCCCCAAAGGGCTCACAATCTACAGTACATCTTCCTAGCAGAATATCGTAGCTGTTTTCATTTAGGGCCCCCAGGGAAAGTGGAGTGAAACACATGCCCTTACCATTCCCCTTCTGCAGAGCTACAACAAAGGGGATGATTAAATGCAGCTCATTGTTTGCCTCCCAACAATGCAGCATTTGCTTTGATCGATTTCCTGTTTCTCTGCTGTAACTAAGGTCTCCTGGCTGAGTCATTGCTCAGTGTTCTCAGGAGAGATTTGATCTCTAGTTGGAGGCCTATGCTTTGTTAGGCATGCTGGCCTGATCAGTGCAGACAGCAGATCAGGTAGTGTTGCAAGAGCTCATGGGCATGCTGGAGGGGGGGGCCTCCTTGAGCAATCCGCATCACCTTGAGCATCCGCAACTGTAGTTGTGAAAAAGCCCAATAGAGACTTGAGGATGTGCGTTGACTACAGGTGCCTTAACTCACAGACAGTTCAAACTAGCTAGCAGCTTCCTCTCAGATCAGATACACTCAAATGAATAAAATGTCAGGAGTAAAATACGTGAGTAGTTTTGATTTGGCATCTGGATACCATTAGATTAAAGTGGCAGCTGAGGACTGAGAACAAACTGCCTTTGTGACATGCTTTGGGTTGTTTCAATTCTTCAGAACGCCCTTCGGACTCATGAACGCACCAGGGGCATTTCAGAGGCTGGTGACTGGCCTTATCCAAGCTTTGAGAGCTGAAGACATCCTCCCATACTTAGATGACTTCATTTGGTCCCACAAAACATGGGTGGGACATCTGGTAGGCGTGGGATGGGTCTTAGAGCTTCTTACGGAGCCAGGGTTTAAATTTGTACTAAACAAGTATCAGTTAGTGAGGAGTCACATCACCTTGCTTGGGCATAGTCAGCGGAGACCAACAAGACTGGGCTACGAAGACACCTTTTGTTGTCTTTGCATATAACACCTGCTGGCACTCAACTATCCATTACTCGCCTTATGAGATTATTTTTGGACTCCACAAACCTATGCTTCCCTCAGACTTGATATTCACCTACATAGCTCAGAGACAAGGTGGAGTCTTATATCAATGACAGCATTCCTGAAGGTGGACGAACAAGTGAGCCAGAAGCAGGTTTTGGAGCCAATCACCCCTTGTGGTTCCTTGATTCCCTTGAAATGCCCCTTTTCTCTGAGTTCCTAGCATGCCACTGGGCTTTGAAGGTAAATGCCAGTAGTTAAACAATGCACACTGACAGAATAGTTACTCCTCGGGGTGGGGGGGTCAGCCCACTCTGACTGATTGCTACTGAACTAAATCATCTTCATCATCATCATGATCTTTTGTGGGTATCTACCAAGCATCTTAAAGCTCTTCATAATAGTGGACATGCAGTTACCTCATTTTACCTGTGGACAGATTGAAGGACTGAAAGGTTAAGTGACACAATTCCTTGGTAGTAGAACCCAGCTCTCCTCATTCCCAGTCCTGTGCTCTGACCACTTGTCCAGGTTGCTGCCCTCAGTAACAAATCAAGGGCCATGCTGATGATTCCAGTTCTGGAGGGGAGGAGGGCAGCATGGGCACTGAACAATGGTAGCACTTCCCAGTGCCCTTACCAGTCGATCTCCTTTATTGACTCTAGGGATACTCCCTGTCCACAGTAGCATCCCTAACCACGGTAATACAGAATGGTGTTTTGCCCAGTCGCCCACCAAGTCTCGTCTTCAAGCAGAGTCAGGTTACTGCATGCCGAGGAAAGGACTGCAACCAAAGAGCTGGGGATAATTAAACTGTGTCTAAAGGGACATCGGGGAAATACACCCCCTGCCTCTCATGTTAGTTCTACTGCATCCCACTCCTGGCTCTCTGATCATTCTGTAGGCAGGGCCTGAATTACCTAATGAGTGTGGGGAGCTCTATCCCCTCAGAACGCAGGGCTGTAATCAGGAATCTCACCCACAGCTCCCCCATACCCCTCCTATGGACTGCTGGGTCCTTGCATCATCGACTCAGGGTAGTACCCACTCGCCCCCTCCTTTCCACACCAGCTAGTCCAGCAACGCAGTGTCCTCCGCAGAATGCAGGGAGTGCCAGAGATGAGAACCATTTCCTAACCTGGTGCAGATAAAGTTAATTGTGCCTAAAACTGGTGCCCCGGTTGTGTTGCACTCTGTACGTACACAGCATCTTCCCTGGACAGCTCCCAAGCTCAGGAGACAGGACAGACACAGGGGGAACCAGAGGCACAGACGGTCCGTGGCAGAGTCAGCCATAGAACCCAGTTCTCTGGGGCTCCAGCCCAGGGCCCCGTCCACTAGACCAGCCGTGAGCATACTTTCCCAGCCACGCCCGCCCCTTACCATTCGCAGCATTCGTGGCACTTGCCCACCCGATACTTGTAATCTGACGTAAACCCTTACTTCTGTGCTGCTGCTGGAGAGCGGCAGCTGCCGGCCGGGGCGTTCTTGTTATTTGCAGGGCGGGAGGACTATGGTTTTTCAATCTCACTCCTGTCCCGCCATGCAATACCCAATCTATTTTTATCCCACTCCTGCTATTATGGCAGCAGGTCCTGCAGCACGCACAGGATCCCAGTTTCTTTGCACCACCCCCCCTCCCCACGAACCTCTTGCACCCCCATCCCCCTCCAGTTTGCACACCATTTCACTAGATTACTTTGTCTCAAGCAAACCATTAGGCTTTTTATGACAGCAGCTTCTAGGCAATGTCAGAGTTTACGGGAATATCAGGAGAGTTAAAACCATGCCCCAGGCTTGGGTATTTACTTACAGCACAGGAAAAGTAAAGTGATGCCAGGCAAATGCTTCATTTCAATTGGGAGAGGTTAGAGAAGAAAATAACCGTCCAGCCAGGGAAAGCGGTAAACATTAAAGAGAGCCTAGCATGCAGTGCCAAGTACTAACCGTACCTTTATTGCTGTTGGTTACATGGCCATTCCATAGCTCCACTCCTCCTTATTAAACTAAAGAAAGAAAGGAGGTACAAATATTTACAATTCTCACCAATATGTATTTGTTAGGCAGCAGTGTGTCTGGGATTCCTGGACACTGTTGCCATAGGGGTTTAGGCCCAGATCCACAAAGGTAGTTTGGCACCTAACTCACATAGAAGCCCTTTGAGGAGTTGAGCCTTCGTGTTTTTGCCGTGGGTCTAATGGGGCGTGAGAGCTGCATTGTGAAATGCAAAACTACCCCACAGTCAAAGTTTTCCCCACATTTTGAGTCTCAACAATGGGCCTGTTTTTTCACAGAACGTTTTGCAAAATAGGTTTCATTGTCTTTCTAGGTTCAGTGTGTGTGACTTTGTGACTAAAAATGAGTTCCCATGGATCCGATTTTCAAACCTCAGTGCCTGAGTTTTGCATGCAAAATATTCCTGTGCCAAAGCATAAGGCAGCATGCCAAAGCATGCACTGAGGTTCCCAAAATAGGCATTAATGCCTCCAGCGTGCGTCCTTATGAACACAAACACAGGAACCTTTCGCATTTCCCAGCCCCCTGTTCTGTACATGCAATTCCACCTTTGCAGGAGTATGTGTCGCTTTGCTGTAGCTAGAGATACTGCTGATGGGAAGGCAGAAAGGACACAGGAGCTTTTGTTCCCAGAACGTTTTTCTGCTGGTTTGGGGGAAATATTCAGCAGTATCTTCTCTTTGTACCTGCCCTAGGTAAAAACTGAGTCATGCTTTGTGTGTGGCCTCACCCATCCTTGCCTGAGGCACTTCCACAGAAGAGGGCTGATGCCAGGTATAGAAATCAGTCAGCCCTATGCTTTCCACTCCAGAGGTCTCTTGGCTCCAGTGGTTCCCGACAATGCTTGCAACTGAGGGTAAGAGTGGGCCAGGTCATGGCCCGGAGGGCTGCTTTGTGATTAGTATTGCACTAGTCTTCACAGCAACACCCAACCAGAGCAGTGCCCCATTGTGCTGCACAAACCCTGCTCTAAAAAAAACCTTTGGGGGGGGAATTGGTTCAACAGACTGTCCTGTGCTGCAGAATAAGGTGTTCTGCTCACTTTTATTTAGAAGCAAAGGAAAGGGAACAGCATGGTAACTAAAGTGAAGGAAATGAATCTGTAACCAGAATATTAAACAATGGGGAGCTTATGCCAGCAATCCTAGGAGAATCCCAGTTCAACCAAATGGTCCGTAGTCACCATGTTTAGTACTGTAGTATTATATATATCCCAGTAGCACTTCTGGGACAAAACTGAGATCAAAGCCCTATCATGCTAGGTGCTGTACAAACACATAGGAAGAGACAGTCCCTTACACTCTACAGACACAGGCAAAGAAAGGACTATTATCCCCATGTTACAGAGGGGCAAACTGAGGCATAGAGCGATTATAGCCCAGATTCATAAAGGTACTTAGGCACCTAAGTCCCATGGGTTCCAATGGGAGTTAGGTGCCTAAGTGCCTTTTAAAATCTGCACTTGGTCAAGGTCACACAGGAAGTCAGTGCCAGAGCCAGGAATTGAACCCAACCCAGTATCTCAACCATCCTTCTTATATTGGCGACCAGCCATCTGACGTGGTTCTCTTCCGGTCTGGTCTGCTCTAGTGACCCACTTTAAGGTAGAGCTGCTGGACTATTTAAAAGCAGTTCCCTGGAATTTCTCTTGTCCTCTGTAGCAAAGCACTCAGAGGTCACAGTCCATTCTACAGTCCCGCTCCTGGCTCACTGGTCCTGGGGAAACAGCATGTGCAAACTCTTGTCAGCTGGGCAGTCAGTAAAATAATGGGCTGGGGACAGGGTGGCCCCTAGCACCTGGGTGTGAATCCTGTGCACTTGCTGTCTCGGTAGCGAACGTAGCGGCTGTTGAACGTCTTCAGGTTCCTTTCCAGGCAGAGAGTGGTGCTCTTGTCACAATCACAGACCTGTTCTTCGCACCAGCTCCCCAAAGCTGCCAAGACAGAGAGAGAGACGCGCACGGTTTTCATGGGACAATCGCAGCGACGAGGAGGACGGGGACTAATTCTCAGGGCCTGACTTCCCACTGGCCCTGTGGAGTCACTTACACTCGGGCAGTGTGAGTGCAAAGTGGGTATGAAGCACTGCTACAGGCATCCTCACTCACACTGGTGGTAGGTTACATTGGATTGGATGAGATCTTAAAAAGTGAGCTCCTCACACCCCCATACAGTCAACTGCATGGACCCCAATTTACCTCCATCAGCTGGATGAGGGGCCAAAGTCACTGGGTCAGAAGCTGAACCAGGGCTTTCAAAGAATCAAGGTGTTGCAACTCCAATACTTATGGGCCATTAATGCACTTCTTTGGTCCATGACACAAGGGGAGACAGCCAGAGTCCTTCCACGGACCCTGGTGCTACCCTCCCCTTCGAACCCTTCTCTTCTGGATCAATGATAAGGCCAAGGAGGAGGCCGAGCGAGAAAAGCAAAGAGCCAAACCAGTGTGCTGATTAGAGAGTAGAAGCAAAGCACATCCCAACCTGACCACGGGGAGAGAACTCACCACACAGGATGTCTCCGTCTTTGTAGGTGTAACTATATCGCTGTCTGTTCCCATAACATCCATTAGCTTTTAGCCTTTCGTAACAGCAGTGATGAGCTCGGCAGCACCTCCGGGGAGAAGGAAGAGCAGAGGCACACGTCAAAGGTCTGCTTACAATGAAAGAGTCTATCATCCAGTATAGACGATCTTGTCTATGCAAGCATTTTTCACTAGGAGGGTGGTGAAGCACTGGAATGGGTTACCTAGGGAGGTGGTTGAATCTCCTTCCCGAGAGGTTTTTAAGGTCAGGATTGACAAAGCCCTGGCTGGGATGATTTAGTTGGGGACTGGTCCTGCTTTGAGCAGGGAGTTGGACTAGATGACCTCCTGAGGCCCCTTCCAACCCTGATATTCTATGGCCATTGCTTAAGCATTTGTTGGATTTACTGTACATATCCAAGACATTCCCACTAATGCATGTATTTGTTCATGTCTGAATCAGGGCCATATCTAACCATAACTAAGGATCGGAAATGCTGTGGTAGAAATTGAGCTTTCTGCAGAAGGCAGTGAGCATCTTAAGAGACTTTCCATCCAGTTGATCTCCTGCAAAGGACCCTTGATAGTAAACTCTGCTGCACTTTATAGGGATATTTAAGCATTTGACCAGTCCCATGGGAATTACAGTGCTGCTTGAGGAATGATATATTTTAAAAAAAAAAAAATCTAGTAGCAATTTACCAATCTGTCGCATCCTTCGGTTCCCCTCTGCCATCAGACCCGCAGTAGCAGCCGTACCCATAATAACTTAGGATGGCACTTTTTCTCGTGGCTTGATTAATCATCTTTCGAAACTCCAGAAGACTCCCCTGTGCCCCAGACAGACCTGCAAACCAGCAAGAGCACTAGGAAGGCTGGTTTCCTCTAAAGGAAAGATCACTTCCCCGTCTCCTGTTGTTAATGCACATGGGGAGCACACTGCATTGATGAAAGAACATGGAGCTGAATCCTTGGGGTTAGCATGTGGCTTTAATGCCACAGCCCTGTGGTAGGGGGCGCTGTGGTGGTGCACTGCTCTACACGGGGCACCAGACAGCTTGTGCCCTCTACTGGTGTGTTCCTTGCAAAGGGGATGCACAATGATCATTCCAGCCTTTAGACCGGCATAGACGCTTCCCACAGTTGCACTGCTCTTGCTCTGGGGACCGGCACAGGAGGACGCAGGGCCAGGACACCAACTCCTCCCTGCCCCCTTTCTCCAGCTCATTCTCCTGTGGGAGAGAAGGAATGCACAGCCCTTCCCCGGAGCACAGGGACTTGTATTGCAAGAGGCCCCTGTGCAGCAATGCTAGGGGCAAGGGGAACACCTTAACCGCTCCCCTGCAGTTACACAGCTGTGTGGGGCCATGCACAAGCTGGGGCCTGAGGCTTTAATATGCCTCACTTGGGTAAAGCTCTCAGTGACCTCAGTGCGGGCCTCGCCCAGTTAAGGGCTGAGTAAACCCGACATCCAGACCCCATGCTGCGGCCGGGTGCACAAAGCACTGAGCCTCACTTGCACTGCCCTGAGGCTGGGGATTCTGCTCTGAGGGGGGCCTGCTGGATACAGAGCAGAGGCGATCGCATAATTAGCGTCGACTAGGGAGTCACTAGTTTGCTGTACTCACTGCAGGCGATCAGCAAGATGACTGCAAAGAGATTCCTCATCTTTGTGCAGGACCTGGGAGAGGAAACACCCGGATCTTCCACTCAGGCAAACAACTCAGTAGTATCGATCTCTGGATCTGCTCCAGTCAGCAGGCAGGCTTCGGATAGCTGGCTGCTGCTGAGAGGATAGAGGGGCAAGTCCGAACTTCTGAGCACGAACCCACTCATTGCAATGAGTCAAAGCCCTGTACAGGATGCTACTGTTTGTAGTGATCTAGCTCAATCAGTGTATCTACCTGAGCTGGAAATTATACCTCCAGCTGCAGTGTAGACATGCTTTAGTGAACCCCGAGGTCCCAAAGCCAGTCTCAGCTGCAGTGAAGGGTGGGAAGTCTGTCCCAAGTACAGAGAACTAGTTGTACAGAGAACTATGGTTACCAGTTAGAAGGAATAACCCACAATGACACACAAGCAGAAGCTACAACTTGTCAGAATGGGCATCAGCTGCTTGATCCCATAATGCAAGAAAAAGATCAGTAAATAATATCTATCTCACCAATCACCATAATACCTAACCACTTCCCAGGTAAATGAATTAGTGTAGCAAGGTCCCTACTAGAGGGCAGTCTCTTTTGTAAAGCACTCACCTCCTCTGGGCTTGGGAAAAGCTTGGCAGCTGGAGTAACACCTGATGTGTGCTAGCCACTGGTTGCCCTTATATTCTCCACTCTGTCCCTCCCACTGCTACCCCAGCTAGGTGGATCTTGTTCTCCAAGGTCCATTATCCAGGATGATCCAGATGAGTGGTGAGGTCTGTAATAGAAGGCGTCGCCCATTTCCCTCTTTCCTCTGGGTCTGAAGGACTCTTCCATTGTATTTAAGCCAGGATGAGCGATCATGCTGAAGACCCCCAGTAGAGACTCCAGTCTCTGTCTGGCAATTTCACATTGCTCCTTTCTGAACACTTCCACTGTGCTAGGAACTCACAGGCTGGAGTTTCACACCTGTTTGGCAGAGTCTCTGAATTCTGATGCCAGTTTGGCAAGAAACTATTCCCCCCCCCGCCCCCACCCCGAACAATGAAGAATGATCACGGCCCCACTGAAGTTACCGGGAGTTTTGCCATTGACGTAAATGGGGTCAAGATTTCACCCCGTGTCTTTAAGAGTGAGATCGTGCTGGATTGTCCGAGGGAACAACACCTGAAAAGGACCAGAATCATGGCTACGCAATGGAAGTTTGGCCTGCGTGAGGACTGCAGGTTTATGTTTAACCACAGCTAAATGGTGGTGGTGGTGCTACAACCATAGGCCAAGATGTGAAGGGATTAACACAGCAAAAATACCCTCCCACTGCAGTTTGTACAGCACCAAGCGCAGGACGGTCCTGGGCCTAGCTCCTCCGAGGTATTTAGGTTCCTAACTCTCATTGATTTCAGTGGGAGGTAGGTGTTGAAATACTTTAAGGCGCCGAGCCTCGATCCATGACTAGTGCTCCTAGGTGTTACAATAATCCAGAACTAACTACTCATACGAGATTCTTCACATTGACATGGAGTTATTGTCAACCTTTTCATGCCCAAATTCGGAAAGGGTTTTCATCATCCGTTCCCACGGCTATTCCAACTGCTGATTTGTTCTGCTGAGTGCGCTAAATCAAGGGGCACACAGCAATGGAGCCCCACAGGCCGGGGTGGAAATTCCTATCTTAATTGACAATAGGCAGCCCAGGTGCACAGACAGTAAAGAGCGTGCAAACAACCTGTGGTCAGAGGAATTGAGACAGTCACAATAGTTCAAGTCAGTATGTAGGTGCCAACAGCTGTAAGATCCAGAACAACCACCTGTCCCCTGTCCCTTATGTCCTGATTTATCTCCATTACACTTCAGGGGAGCTGTGAGGGATTAGCAGCGCCTTCATATTGAGTTCCACAGGTCACTCAGCTCCAGCGAGTCTCAACAATGCTTGTAACTTGAGGCTAAGGATGGATTTCAAGCTGGGGTTGTTGTAGTAACTGGATGGAAATAATCTACTTTTAATGCACTTTGGGACAAATTCACCTGCTAAAATCCCATTGATGGCAGTGAGACCTGGATCTGGGTTCATGGACTGGGCAGAACTGTCTGGCTGAAGGTTCCTGGAGGAGTGGAGGTTGTAGATGATTTGAGCTGTTTGGATCAGATCCAGATTTTTCTGCATCAGCTATCGAGCAGATATCATTTAAAAAAAACAACAAAACACTGCTTAACCTTTAGTCCTGCACTATATGTACTGTGTGTGTGAGCTGCATTGTCTACTATATAATATAAGCTCCGTGAAACAGATATGACGTCAGCCTTTACGTCTGTGCACTGCGGAGCACGCTGGTGGCTTTCAATAATTAAATGATAATAAGGGCATAAGCATGTGTCACCCTACTGCAGGATATGTTGCCGGGGGAGAACCCAGTCACTCCTATCCTTTCTGTCCCACGGGGCTCTTTGCTTCAGTGCTTGAGAACAATGCTTGGGTTTGAAGGTAAAACTAGATGAGGTCCAAGTGTTCGCACTTTCATTGCACCGAGAGGGGGAGCACTTCTCTTGCCTCCACCAGGCACGCTGAACATGGAAACTATGGAGGAAGGGCCTCCAAGGAAGAGAACCTGGTTAAGGTGACATGACAGAGTGCCCAGGACTTCTCTTGTGATGGTTAAAGGGTAAAAAGAGAGTGGTGCCTTTTGGAATGGGATGTGATCATTTGAGAGCATCCCCTTAGCAGCCTCTTCCCAACATGGGTCCTATGGTGCCCCTGGTGTTATCTAAAGCTGTTCTTCCAGCATGAACACCCAGGTGGGGACAGGACAGGCAGTCATACCAGCTACTCTCCCTGTGGGTGAAGCCTTCCTGAGATCCAGGAAGGGTGCAATGTACACCTCTCTTGTGCCAGAACTCACTGAACTCCTTTAAGACAGGAGGGTGATGGAACCCAGGGAAAACTAGACAATCATTTCCAGCCAATCGGCCATGGGAAGTGTACCTACCTGCATCCCCCTTACAGGGCTGGTTGGCTGGGAGATGGGGGCAGCGTTATGGTTTGCAGTTGAACCTCCGGTGAAAAGGGAGACCCCTGTTCAAATCCTCTCTCCCCTGCTGGTGGAGAGGGAGAGACATTGAACCTGGGTCTCCCCCATCCCAAGTAAGAGCATTAACCACGGGACAGAGGCACCAACATCTCCTTCTGCAACCAGATTTTGAGTGGGCCTCAAGCTGGTAGGTGACCTCTGAGCTTGCCTACTAGATTGGGCCCTGCATGCAACTTAGGTGGAGAAATGCCTGTTTTCCAGGTATGAATGGCTCTGACGCTTAGGTGGAAGATAGATGCCTGGATGCCTAGGGGGGTTAGGCACCCAAATGCCTCTGTGGATTGGGGCCTTAGCCTCTTTGTGTCTGCTTCTCATCTGTGAAATAGGGAAAGTGGCTTTAAGCTCACAAGGGGTATTGTGAGGATGAATCCATTAAAGACGATGAGGCGCTCAGATACTATGATGCTGGGCCCAGAGATGTACCTAAGCTAAGCCGGCAGCATGGAGCTCTGTTCATATTGACTTGCAGGTTCTGGGCTTTAGCCAGTAGCCGTGGTGTGATTTTTTTCACCCTAAACAAAGAGAAGTGATAGAAATGGGTCTAAACCAAAGACCTAGATCTGACCCACCCCAGCTGTGGGATCTGAATCAGAACGCTACAGCAAACCCCATTACCTAAAGTGGACTGAACCACACTCCTGGATCACGAATTTTGGGAGTGAAATTTGACTCAGGATCTGAACATTGTGGCTCAGAACCATCAGGGGACTTATGAATATTTTAACTTGCAACCACGCTAAAGGGGTAGCTCCTTCCAGCTTTCTCACTCATGCCAAAGGGTGAATCGTTCGGTTCGGTCGAACGCCCCTGAGTCACAACCCGGAGAAGAACATGGTTATACTCTTCCGTTTTATTCGGAAGCAGCCCAAAGCAAATCTGCACTGAAGCAAGAGCAAAGGAAATGGACTTTTCTCTATGTTCATTTATGCACTTAGGTCCTGATCCAAAGACTATTGAAGAGAATGGAGAGACTCCTCCTAGCACCCATCATAACTTAACCATGGCAGAGGACATGTGCCAGTTCTCTCTAGTATTTTTTATCAAAAACGGGACACGTGTTGCTTTCTCCCTCTAAAGAATTTCTCTTCTGACCCTGTGTATCGTGA